TCAGCAAGCAAGATTCTTCAAAATCAATTTAACTTATATTCCTCCAACCCATTGAATAACATGATGTTTCCATATACTACCACTGTACTTATTGGGTGCTTGTGTTCATTTGTCATGCACTGTTGAAAGAATCCAGTTTGTGCACTTTATTGTGGTGCCACTCTAAGGTGTTTGAAGGGTAAATAGGTCCTGTCTAGAGAGCAAGTAAGATTTCTAAGTTTGAGACTGCTCTATCCAACTTTAGCAAACACAGTTTCCAGCAGAGTTTTGTCAAACAGATGCATCCATCTTATTCCAAAACCACCGCAGCTTTGGGTTTTTTTTAGCATTCAAGAACTGTGAGACTTTTGTTATTACCAACTTTTTGCATTCTTGAAGAAATTCTTAATACCATAATGCTACACTGAACTATTTTTTATTGGGGGGGGGGGGGGTGGAACATCAGCAAATTAAACGTACTGTTCTTTTTCCTTGGAACTTTAAAAAAACAGACTGAAATTCCTTTTCCAAAGGACTGCTGTGGAACAACTTTAAGCTTTGGTTTTCTAAATTGCACCCATAACACAGTAATAATTAACCTCTAATGGATATTGCTCAGTACTGGTCACGTTTCCTCCTTGATAAAGATGACAGTGGACAAACCAGAAAGTGACCTTCCTTAGTGTCTTTTAAAACTTGGAAAACTGACAAGTTATATCACACGCTGCCTACAGGACTTACATTACTGTTGTTCATGTTCTCATTTTATGGGTTATTGTTTCTCAACTAGTGGTGACATAGTGTTTTGTCTGAATTGGATACTGCATCTCCACTTTGAGAAGATAAGAGGAGCATAAGGAACATTGCAGTGCATGGGAAATCTGATGGCGCTCCAGCAGGAAAGAGCTGGCTTAGGACAGTTAAAATTCCACTGTACCTGAACTAAGTTGTGGTATCAAGGGCTAAAATCAGTGTAGTGAATGCGCACCACAGGGTGAACTGTTGGGTTTGAGTGAAAAAGTGACTGCTATTTCTCACAGTTTTGTTTTACAGTTGGAGAATAAAACTAAGTTATCTAACCCTTACAATGTAAGCAAAACAGTTTATGGGCCTTGCATGATTTAGCTTCAGAGTTGAAACTAAATGTTTTTAAGTATCACATCTGCTGCGCTGAATGATGATTTAGCTACTAGCTTTATGCTCCGCAACAGCCATCAGCAGCTGGTTTTGGATCTGGCAAAATCTAAATGTTAATTTTTAACTGGTGCTTTCTCAGTTCCTTTTCTTTTTCCTTCAGTGTATGGGTTTGATTGTGGCCACGTTTTGCATGCACCTACTCGCACTGCATGTTTTTATGACTGGCTAATGTCAACGCAGCTACTGTTCACACTGCTTTCTGAAAGACCAAAAATGAACTTTCTCACCACAGAGAAGAAATGGCTAGCGTGTAACCTCATAGACTTGCTGTTCTGTCATGAAGCGTATGAAATAGGTTGGAAGTAGGATTTTTAGTGCTCAGATTTCATCTGTGTACTGTAGAATACTTCTCGTTTTGTTTTACTCTGCTTGTAGGCGTGGAATTTTGGAATTCAGCAAAAGAAAAAGCACTAAAACTATTGAGCACTGATGATATGCCTTTGCTTTGGTTATTTTTTAATTGCAAAATGATCTGGGACCTTAGAGAATGATGAGGTTAAACTAGTCTTGAGACCATTTCTCAATTTCATTCAGTTCCATTGTGCAATGTACACTTCAGTTACTTTTCTATCAGTCTGCAGACACGGGTGTATCCAAACATTGAAACTAATGTGTACTGTATAGTGTTGTACATGAATGTTTGTGTTTTATATACCACATGCAAAATGTCAATATGCACTATTTAAATGTTTTAAATAATATATTCCTCCTTTATAATGCTTAAATCTATATGATTCCAATATTTTTATAAGTGAGTGAGTGATCAGACTGGTTCCAATTCAGAATTAACAGCTGCTTTGTGTTTGTTATGCAGTGTTTGGCTGTTTATTCAGTATAGTAGATAAGCATGGCAACAGTTATGCTGAGTGTGTTTTGTGCCATCCTTGTTGAGCAATAAATAAATGGTAGAACTAGGCATTTTGTGATATAACAGGTTTACTTTGGTAAAAACAGAACGCTATATATCTATATGGATATATAGATATGGAATATATATAACTAAACCAGATATAATTGCATTGCTATGTCTGGTGCTCATTGTATAGACTTTTATAATAAAAGTACCTTAACCTTTATTGTCATATATCTTTGTTTCTTATCATGCTTTCTCCTCCACTGCCATGTCTTCAAAACAAGTGAGTCCTTCACCTTTCCTGTACCTGTTTGTAGTTTCAGGGTGCTGCTGAGGCAGGTCCTGCCAGCAGAGCCATGCATGCTGGTGGGGGCTCAGCACTGAGACACCTCTTGGTGAAGCTACAGCAGTTTAAGCTTTACTTCAGCTGTTCAGAGTGTGCCTCTCAGCAGAGACAGCAGGGAAGTGACCAGATCAGCTCCCAGACCGGCACCGTGGCTCGTGGTGCATGTGGGCTTCAGTTCCTGCTAAGTGCCAGCCTGCTGTGCGGTGATGTGGCAGCAAACTGTGAGTCTTTCTCATTCCTGCTCCAGCAGTAGCAATCTGGGAGTAGATGGGGCAGGGAGCCAGTTCAGCCGTTACTGGGCTAATGAACTCACTGCCGATGAGCACACGTCCACTGCTGAGCAGTATTTGGTTGTGTCTCTGGATCCATAACAATCCCTTTGCCTTAAAATCAGCATCCCAGCAGTTGTGTTTGTGGCCAGGAGGCACTGTTACTGCACACACTGCTGTAAACACAAGAAAATACTTTTCCTCTGGACCAAATAGGTGTTTATTTTCATGGTTTGTTGATGTCAGTTCAAATGAAAAACAATTCGGGGCTTTTGAACTGACTCTTCTGTTGTGTTTTGTGTGAATCCACCTTTCTTCAGCCTAAGGCCTGGCAGGAAGCAGAAGAACTCCTGAAGGTGAAGACTCTGTGGTTGTGTGGCAGTGTAGGTAAATGGGAACAAGAGAAACAACTAGGAGACTGAGGGAGAGGAGACAGAAGGCAGCTACTGTATGTTCTTCAGGGCATCAATGGCTTTCCTCCAAAGAGGGGTGGAAAGAAAGCACAAATTCTTTGCACGCTGGCTTAAGTGTGTTTCTCCCTATTTTCTCCTATTTTTTCCTTATTTATTCAATGAGACTTGCTCTGATCAGGGTGCTAATGAGAACACAAAAATCCTTCAAGTAGTGGTTTAGTGAGAACTGCTTCAAATCCACATGCAAGGAACTGAGAATATTCTAATGAAGAAGAGCAACCCTGTGTTGAACACCATTAGAGGCGAAATGGCTATTTTTGAGGGTGCAAAAAGCTCAGTGATACCAGGACAGATCTTTCTTGCTGAAGAACCAGTTCTGGGACAACGCAAGTCAATAGTATTCCAAGCTTTACCTCTTTAAACAGGTTTGCTTGAGCCATTATGTTACTGCAGGGCAGGGAGCTTGCTGGGAAGTGAGGCAAACTGTGAAGAGGCTTTCCTGTGCCTCAGAGTAGAGCAAAGCTGATGAGTGCTGGAAAGCCCTTCCAGGAAGCTCTGGGTATGTAACTGTGTCTAAAGGGCTTGAGACTTCTCTGTACAAGGGGTTGCCAATTGGAGGAAAGGTTGGAGCTATCGAAGGTGCAATGTGTCTGCTTTCCTGCCCGTCAGGCTATGGAGTGACCAAGTAACACAGGTCATGATCTGGTTTTCTGGGACAAGTGTCCTGGGATACTGCATGGCAACAAGAACCTTTTGGAAGTGGAGGGAAAGGGGTGTTTTGCTTTGAAAGAGAGAGGATGGCTTGGCTTTGCCCAGGAGAGTGAAATGCAAAATCAGTGAACCCTGATGGGCAAACCAGTGCATGGCTATGCTGTGCCACTGGGCTGGAGTGATCTCTGGGTGCCTCAAGCACCCATCTGCTCCCTTCAGGACACAGCTCCTCCATGCTGTGATTAGGTGCAGAGAGACCTGAGATCGTGTAGTACCCCAGTAGTACTCTGCAGGGCGTAAAGCTTTACAGTATTATAAATCCATGTAGGATGGGTGATTCAGGATACTTTGGAGGCTGGGGGGGCTGCATGTTGGGATATACAGTGGCAGAAGGTCCCAGGGCAGGGACTCTGTGGTGCAGGTGGGTTGTTGCAGCCTGGTACAGGGTCAGGTTTTCTCTTGGTGTGTTCAGGTGGCATCTGTAAATGTGCTGTATTTCCTCCTGGGGCAGAGTCCCAGCAGTGAACAAGTATTAATGGCTACATAGGAGTCGAGAGCTTCTGGCCACAACATAAAACCTTGTCTCGAAGGCAACGGGTGTATATGGATTTGGGAATAAAAAGGATGTTTGGAACATCGAGGCTGGTGCAAGGGTGAAGCAAAGGGCCCTCTAGTGGTTCACAGTACAAGATTTGTTTCCTGGAAAGAGTTTTGCTTCCACTGAAGGCAACAGGAAACCTGTTCTGGAAGCAGCAATGCCTGGAACAGGAATTGCTGGGAACTAGGTGTTAACCTTGGCAGCAGATGCACTGTGTGGTGGACTGTGCTTGGTGACTGAGGGTTGCACTGGGTTACACAGGGCCAGAGAGCGAGAGGAGGCTGTGGAGTAGGCCCAGTATGTCACCATGGCTGGTGATCTGCCCTTGTGGTTACACATCTGTGTCTCACAGCAGCCCCCAAACAAGGCACAGGAATCAGTGTTGTACAGGCATCCACAGAGATGCCTACCCAGAACTCCAGCAAGGCTGCTCAGTTATAAGAGTTAAAGCAGCACCTGAAGCTCTCAGAGACCCAGAAGCCACAATGGTTATTTTTTAGTAATACCTTTAATAACATTCCTGCTTCTTTTAGCCAGAAATAGAACAAAATAAAGGGGATGGGAACTTTGGATGTATTTAAACCGGGACGAGTTGGGGCCGTCTCTGTCACCAGCTGAGCAGCCAAGTGTTTCAGCATGTTGGCTTGTCTGCAGCATCCTGCTGTTGCATGTTTCTTATGATTCTCCTGAGTCTTGCATTGGTGGTGTTGAGTTCCTTCCCCAGTTCAGCTGTGTAACTCACGAGCCTAGAACACACGAACACAGCCACATATCCCTGAGATGGTGCTGCTCTTCAACTTGCAGTTACAGCCTTTTTGCTCACTTGGGTCAGCTGCCAAGGATCTAAGTCCTGAAATGCCACTTCACAAGTACAAGGTCCTATGGTCCCCGTCCCCCTTCCTGGGCAGCCACAAGGAGATGTTCTTGTCCCACCTCATTCTTGACTTATGTCTTTACAAGCTGCTCTGCTAAATCCTTTTGTTTCCTTTTTCCCTCCCTAAGGGCAGCTGTTATCAGCCAGTATAAAAGGACTTAAAATAGCTTAAAAATCACTGACTTTATGTTGGTCTGCTGTCTCCCAGGTTGTCAGCCGGTGAGGGTTTCAGCTAAGGCTGCAGCTGCTGGGGGATGGCGATAAGAGTGCAAGAAGAGATCCCACATACTTACTGCTGAAAATCTGCAATGGTGACGTAGCCCTGAGCTGGGCCCGAGGCCATGTTCTGAGCAGGCACATAAATCATCTGATGTCTTTCTTTCTTTGCCTGTAGCTCTGATACCTTCGAAGGGCTCTGTACGACAGCAGAAGGATTAAAAAGAAATAGCAATCCTAGCCAAAGCCAGCATGGCTCACTGGGACACTTGTAACATACTCACTTGTGCAAGGAAAAGATCTGTGCAGCTTTGTCTCTATCTGAAAGTAGATTTTCCTCCTGGCCCTCCCAAAAAGACAGGCTATAGGAATGCACATTTCTTTGTGGAGTGCAGAGAGATGGCAAGTGTGTGCGGCAGTGTTCACAGTGAGCCAAGGGGGTTCCCCTCTCTTGTGCAAGTTAGCTGCTTTAAAAGTGTTTTGGAAGTACTTGCACAGGCTTACCCCAGATATGGAACTATTAGAAACCCTTTTGTAAAGCAAAAAGAAGCTACAGTGACCTTTCTTCTTACTGTAGATGCAGCCTCTGACCCAACCAACTGATGTGAAACTTGTTTGTTTTCCATACATCTGTTTCTGTTTAACATTTGGGCAGATGCCCATCTCACAACTTTATACCATTGCTAAGCCACACTGATCCCACCCTATGGCCAGCTCTGCTGTTGCAGTGTATGACCTTGCCTGAGCAGGCTCCCATTTGAAGTGTTGCACATTATCAGGGATTTTTCTTTATTTATAGGTCTAGCTTTTACCATTCCTGTGTTGTTAAAAATAGCATCCTGTGGAGAAATAGCTTTTGTAAGTAACAGTGAGGACAACTGTGACTCCTTTTGTATTATTCAACCCCTTGAAATATAATCAGTTTTTAAGAAGACAGGAAAGAATAAAACCTACCTTTTCGCTCTTAGAAACATGCTTCTTTCTAGTGGATGGTAATTCCTTGCTTGTCATTCACACAGGTGAGAAGAGAGAGAAGTGCTGTGAGAACAGGTCCGTGCTCGGTGCAGGGGGTAAGAGCCAATACTGAGGTCCTACCTTTCCAACTTCTCTGCTGCTGGTTGTGTGTCTTCCTCAGGTTTCTTCAGCTTGAGCTTGATAAGGGCATTATCACAACTCTGGACATTGACAGAATTAATGTTAAATGGCTTGTGTTTAACCAGAGACATTTTGCACAAGGAGCAAACCCTCAGCACTGCCTTGGCAGTTCAACAGAAACCTTACCAGTCTATCGCTTTCTTTGTTCCCTTAGCTCAACTTGGAGAACTTACCCTGCCGTCCCTCAAATTAGTCATGAAAGCCCTGAAGGTAATAGCCAACCAAATCTAGTAAAAGCTTCTGTTTTCAGGCATATTCAGTTTAATCTTACTGTAGTCCTGATAAGTAGGAGAATGAGCTTGGGTGGGAGAATCTGAGCTGGGCTGTTGGTGTTGTTGGGCTGAGGTCATGAATTCAAGTTGCACTGAAAAGATTTGTTCCCATTTTATGCTCATTTCTGGCACATAAAAACGGTCTGAACTTTGTGGATTTTTAAAGGCCAGTATTTCCACTTGTCTTATCTTCCCCTGCACAGAAGATCTTTAGTGTCTCCATTTAGAAAAGCAACAGTAAGCTCTGAAGAATATGATGGCACATAATCACAAACCAGGCTGCTCTTAAATATTCCTTTTAAAAAGGTGAAGTAAAGGTAGGCTCCTTGCACCCTAACTCATACACTGCTCTTGCCATTAGGAGCTCCTGGGGATTCGATAGAAGGATGTCTCTGCATCTGTCAAACTTGTACTTAAAGTGGAAGATCAATACTTGAGTGTTCTTACATGGTTATGGCCCAGCTGTTTCAGGCTCTTTGCTAGTGATGTAGCTTAGAATTCCCCCTTCTGTCTGGAATTAAATGAGGTAGTTACACAAGTGTTTACTTACACGTCTAAAGAGGTCTCTGATGGGGAGCTTGTGACTGGGCATCACATCGTAGTCTGCTTTGACTTCCAAATAGGTGTTATTTATAATGGCCAAAAACATGTTCTGCACAGGAGGAATGCAGTTAGACATTTGTCTCTGGAAGCTGCATCTGTATTATGCTGGGGCTGTTGTTTGGGGGCTGCTCCATGCTAGGGCATGTATGGACTTGAGCTTTTCTGAGCGCAGATGCACCCAATGCAGATACATTATCTGGTGACATTATTCTCATCATTCAATGTGCTTGTTTTGTGGTGCAAAAGCCCCTTTTTGTGGCAGTTTGGAGGAAGGGAGAGCTGGGAAATGTCAAGGACTGCTGTCTCTGCCCAGGTGTACTGAGGGGCAGCCAGGACAAAGCCTGGGGTCATCTTGGTTTGAAAACCGCTGTCTCGGAGCACTACATGATAGTTCTCTACTGCTAATACAAAAGGATAAGCATTTTTGAGCTAGTCCTTACCAGCAATATGAAGAACACAAAGAATACGAATGAGATGAAGTAAATGGGTCCAAGGATTCTGTTTACTGCTTCTGTGTTTTCAAAATCAAAATCTCCCAGCACAATACGGAACTGTGTGAAGCTGGGAGTAAAAAGTACCAGAGTGAGGTTGACTGGCTTCTCCTAAAGAGGAGCATTGTAAGCATCAACAAGCAAACAAAGAAGCCCAAAGCAAGAGATACAACTGAGACTGATTCACCATTCCCTTCATCACTGAAATCAATAGGTGAGTCAGGATAGTACAGCAGTGATAACATGCCATTTAGCATATACTTGGGAATTTGAAAGTACAAAGGAATTTGTCCTGGTGTGCTTGTGTGAGAAAATCCCTTCATTTTGGATAGGTCATGTGGCTTATTTTAATGGTTTCCCTGCTGTTCTGGCTTCATGATCCGTCACCTTCTCTTAGCACAGAAGGTATCAGTATAGGTCCCTATGCTCCCTAGAGGGGATTTTATTCCTAGTGAAGGCAAATACTTATTTCTCTGTATTGCAGCATCTTAAAACCATCTCACACCCAGGTGGGTCTAAAATAAGCTGGTTTGCTGGTTTCAAAGTGCCTTAATTTTACATGAAAAGCTGCTTTCAAACAATTTGCTACACTAAAGATCTCTGAATTGTAAGAAACGTAGCCGTGGGGTAAAACTCAAGCCTTGCTGAGAGTGTCAGGTTAGAGACCCTACAAAGTGTGAGGACCATCAAAGCCAGCTCCATCTGGTACCTGGAGCTGATCTGATGATGACGCTACAGTGAGTAGCAGAGCCAGCAGATGGGATTCAGGGACTCTTGGCCATGCAGGTGGATGTGTTCAGCTTGTGCTCTGAGTGTGTCTGCTGAGTGGCTTTATGCCCTTACTTCTGAAAGGGGGGAAAGAGGCAGCCTGCTGCCAGGCCTGCCCCATCACCCAGGGGCTGGTTACATGCAGGAAAGCTGAGAGCTGGGGGGGGACTAATGGCTCCATTGGGTGACCTGCTCCTGAGCTTCCCTTTCTGTGGCTCCCCTGCATTGTTTAATGCACATATGGCCTTTTCTGAGCACGGGAAGGCTTTGGGAATCAAAAAGGGGTTTACTCTATGAGATAAGCTGAAGTGCTGGAGCCCTGTACTCTTTAAGTTCTGCTTAGCAGAAACTGGTTTGTGCCTGCAGCAGTTTGTATCCTAAAGTTTGCAAAGTACATACATGCATTTCTGGAACGTGGAAAAATCTTCAACTTGTGACCCAAAGACCAGATAGCCAAACTGGGCATAGGCAAAGAAGACAATGAAGAACATGACGGCAAACCCAATGATGTCTTTGGCACAGCGAGATAAAGTGGAGGACAACTGCTCCATTGTTTTGTTAAACCTTACATATTTAAGTACCTGCAAGAGAACAGAACATATTGTTATTGGGGGATCAGAATGTGTGGCAATTTCTCAACAGGATTTCTGGAATGTTATCCATAATCGTCATTTACAGGTTAAGTTGTACCCAGAAATGGGATGTATCTACAAACACACTAGGATTGGGTGTGTTTCTGGAGAAGATGAATATTCTGCAGGGAAAATACGTGTCTATACTAAAGCTAACAGCATGTTAGGTCTTTGCTGGGGACTGATATGTGTGATCAGGTCTAGCAGTATGGACCCCGGGTCAAGGAGACCACAAGCCATTCCACCCCCGTGTCTGCAGAATTGGTAAGGAGCTCTCTTTTACTTTGGGTCTGAAACAAGGCCTGAACAAGCCTTGTTCAATGACAGTCATTAATGATAAACACAGCTGTGCTACTGACTGAAGTCTGAAGGGAGGGTGATGCAGGGGCTGGGGTACAGGAGGGATGTAGTGAGGAAGGCTGTGCACAGAACTGGTTAACAGCCAGTGCTCCCAAACAGCTTCTGTTCGGGCTGGGAGGTGGAGGAAGGCCAAAAGCCTGTTGATTTTAAAAGGATGTGACCTTTCACAATAGCCTGCGTTGAGGTACCTGGGACATGACTGTAAAGTGTGATCTCTGCCAGATGTGAGCACATCCCCTGCCCGTTTCATAGCTGCATTGTGCTGGATGTTCTATAAATGCATTAGGGCAGAGAGGGCCTTGGGAAGCCTCATCCAGCCACTGGGAACACTGAGGCCTCCCAAACTCAAGTCACTGCTGTCTGCTGGGAAAAGGGGAAGGGGAGCAGAGCCCAGTCAGAGCCAACAAGGTTTAGCAGATATGGGGCAGTGGCAGGCAAATAGGCAGGGCTGGTTTAGCCCCAGAGCATCTGGTTAGGAACAAAAGTAGCTCCTAATCTTGGAGCAGTTTGCTACTCTGTCCAGAGATCAGCAAATCTGTTTGCGAGAATGAAACGAAAGGTGGGCACAAAGCCACTGCTGAATCAAGTTTGGACACATTTTGCCTTCCTTTTGGCTACAAAAGCTATGAATAGCTCCACCTATTACAACCATGCCATCTGTATATATCAGGCTGTGACCTGGATCATATTGGGTCTAGGAAAATACTGAGTTTGAGGAGGCTGTTTGGCCATGCTCATTTCTCAGCTGCTCCAATGGAGACAGCTGCCCATGTGCAAAATTCCTTTCTAGATGGGCTTGGAATCTGTGTGACCATGTTTATGAGAAGGAGGTAATTTTAAACTCTTCTGGAATCTCATAAACAAAATTCTCCCTTTTAGCCCCACCTTTGCAATTCACCCATGAAAAGGTACAAGTGAACACTTAGGCTATGCTTAGGAATGCTGATTCTCAAGTACAAAAAAGGGAATAAGAGCCAATACCTTTATCCAAGCAAAGAAAATGTTGACAGCAATCATATTGTTGTAAAGGACTTGCCAGAATGTAAGGAAATAGAAGTCTGGATATACACTGGCATCAGAGAGCAGCTCTCCCATTAGCAGGGACACTTCTACAGTGCTGTAGATATTGAAGACAATGGCAAGGATGGATACCTGAAGGAAAGCAGAAGCCAGTGAAAAGTCCAGTTAAGTGCCTTCTCCTTCAGGCTATCATTTTGCATAGGGAAGACTTTGATTTCAACATGCCCTTGGGTAGATTTGGAAAACCTGAGCTTTTTTGGTCATAATCCATATATACAAGACTTTATTGCCCAAAACAATTGCAATGGTACTGTGATAATTCTGGCCTTGTGGTATTTAACATGCTACATACATTCTAATTTACTATGTTAGCTCTGTTACATGCTACTGCTTCCCTGCCCTGCAAAGATGAAGGCTCAAACAAGGTGGATAGAAAGTATGAAAGATGTGGAGCCGCAGCAAGCTACCAGCAAAGATAGAAGGGTTCAATGTGCTGAACCATGGTGGGCCATGTGGCCTCTTCAGTGCAGAACACTGGGTGACTGACTTAAACCCGACACAGATTTGGGCTGTTTGGCTTGTTGGCTGTGTATTCAGTGCAAGCCTACACTGGCAAGCACAGAGGTGAAAGTCAAGGGGTAGCTCACCATCAGCAGCATCAAATCCAGCCAGCTCCAACCACTTCTGAAATATTCCCGTTTCAGTTTCACTATTTTTATAGCTTCCTGGATTATGAATGTAATGATAAAGAGGCAAAAGATGATTTCACAAGAAGCCACGAAGTAATCATAACGTGTGATGTATCTGAGGAGCTTTACAGAGTAGATATGTATAGAGGTGAAAGCACCACCGGTGGCAGGGAACTCTACCACCAACCTGAAAAAAATTGGGGACTGGTGTTAGTTACCATCCCTTCAAATCGTCTCAGCCCTTTATTTTCTAATACTAATCATTACTACATTCATAATACCTTGCTGGAACTCCTACATCTCTAAGGTCTTCTTGTAAGGTACTGTTTCTCAGTAGAGCAAATGTTCACTGTATCCTTAGTCTTTTCCCTCCCCTAAGCTGACAACAGGACTACTAATCCGGTCTCTTACCTTGTGAAAGGCTATGAAATTCCTTCCAACTGACAGCAGCAAGCAGCTGTAAGGACCAGATACCCTCTACTACAAAAAAACATGGAAAAGAAGGATCTGGGCCTGCTCCCTGCACTCCTGCGTTCTTAATGGATTACTGTCTTGCCAGCTGCTACCTGGGAAACGTGGCTGCATGTGCCTGAGGTGACCAGCCTTCCCCTGCATCCTTATGAAAGCATCATGCCTCAATAAACTGAACTTCACATGTAGCAAAGGTAAGAACTCACCTGACCACACAGAAGAGGTTTAGGTTAGCGTTGTATGTTGAGAAGTCGATAAATACAACTCTGGTTCCTCTAGTGAGCCAGTTGTTCTGCTTCAGAGAGGCCAACTTCTCTATGCTCTCCTGCTTCGATTTAGGTAAGGTGAACAAATACCCTCCACTGCCATACAAGCCCATATTTCCCAAATACCACAGGGTAAATGAATCAGCTGGGGTGTATTTCCATCTGGTCAGAAATGGGAAAAAAAGGACTCAGTTTATGGAACCTGGACTGAAGTAAGCTTCACCTTTTATTTTATACAATGCTTGCTGGTTCTTTAAACAATGCATTTCTTTACATAAAGAATATGGCCTTAAGATACTCACATTATATTTAGCTGCTCAGTGCATTCACAAGACAGCAATTGGTTATGAATCTGGATTTTGCCCAATGTGGGCCAGACAGTTCATTACCTTAAAACCTTTGTAGGCAAATGGAGTATCTCTGGTTTCCATAATTCATTGTTCTTGTGGCATGTTCACAGGTTCTTCCATTGTGTTAAATTCATGCTAAATGAAGTGTGTGAAGCAGGCCTTTTGGCTCTGTTTTCAGAGCATTTTAGCATGATTCCAATTTATAAACATGGGATTTAAATTCAAGCCTCATATAACTGAGCATTTCTCCAGAGATGTTAATGGAGATGGACCCCCTAACATGTGCTTCTGCTGAACTGGGTTTGCTGTTTCCAGTTCTTCCTGTCTCTCTGCTCTACATTTCCCATGCTAAATTCCCATCCATAATGCTGGCACAAAAGCAAATCCATGATTTATCACAGTGTAAAACAAGAAGAAAAACTCAGCTAACTGCATGCACAGTTGTGACTGAGTGAACAGTAGTGGCATTAAGGCTTTGGTTAGGTTTCCTAAAGCATTTCTGTACTGGAGCAGGATGACTTACTCAGATTCGCTCCTTAGAGCATCGTCAGACCTGTCTTCAGCTTGGTAACTGTACTCACTGTAACAGCTGTCTAAAAAGCTACGGAAATAGGGGTAGATGGAGCACGTGTTGTTGCGCACTTTCACCTGTCGAACCTGGACTGCTCCTAACAGTAAGTTCTCATAGTAAATATGGCTGTAGTTCTGGAAGGGTAACGTCTTGTTGTTGTACCATTTGTCCCAGTAGAGTCCATCCAACAGCGGTCCCTGTACAAACTGCACATACAAGTGAGGTTAGGGTTTCAGAAGAAGATTTAAATACCACTATTGCCCCTCTTTTTAGCATACAAACCTGTGATATCTCTACTATTATCTCTAATAATCACAAATACTGGGTTCCCAGGTTACTTATCGCTACAGAGTCTAAGCTAGAATACAAACAACTCCCACCAATGTACCGTCTTGCACATACAATATATTTACATCTTTTTGCTATGAGTCAATTCTGTTCCCTATGCAATTCTATCAGGGATGTGTAATGGCATTATTCAGGGCAAGACTGTAACATCTCCTTAGAATTCTCCTGAATTCTAAACAAATACGTTTAAACACAAACGCTGTATGTTGTTTTAACAGAATCTGTTGGTTATCTTAATCTCTGACAGATCTGGTTTGGGATATGTTTCTCATTAGGGGTTTAGTCATCTGAAGGTATTTATTTGTGAAGGTGGGGAAGAAGCAATCCCTCTTTTTCTGGGTGTTTCTTAGATGCCAATAAAGAGGATTCAGTTTGGGGGGAGTATTATTCTGAGTGCAAAACAACACCCCCTCATGGTTTGGGACCATCTGAGCACGCATTACAACCATGCCTAGTGCATCAGTCAACACACTGTAATAGCAAAGGCTCCCTATTTGATGGACTGGCAATTACAGACACCATGCTAAGAGGAAGCACAATTCTTCCCAATGAATTCTTATAGCCAGGCATTTCCATTTGTAAGGAAGAGTGGGATGAGAAACTTTGCCTCCTGCTGGCAGCTGGGCAATGCTGGTCATTTTGGGAGGTCCTCCATCTAGCAGTGAAAACAGAGACAAGTGTTTTGCAACTCTCACTGAAATACAGGGTAATGTAACAGCAAAGCAGGGGAGCCAAGGTGGTTTTACACTGGAAATCATAGAATCACAGAATAGTTAGGGTTGGAAAGGACCTTAAGATCATCCGGTTCCAACCCCCCTGCCATGGGCAGGGACACCTCACACTAAACCATCTCACCCAAGGCTTCGTCCAACCTGGCCTTGAACACTGCCAGGGATGGAGCATTCACAACCTCCTGGGCAACCCATTCCAGTGCCTCACCACCCTCACAGGAAAGAATTTCCTCCTTAGATCCAATCTAAACTTCCCCTGTTTAAGTTTGAACCCGTTACCCCTTGTCCTGTCACTGCAGTCCCTAATGAAGAGTCCCTCCCCAGCATCCCTATAGCCCCCTTCAGATACTGGAAGGCTGCTCTGAGGTCTCCACGCAGCCTTCTCTTCTCCAGGCTGAACAGCCCCAACTTCCTCAGCCTGTCTTCATACAGGAGGTGCTCCAGTCCCCTGATCCTCCTCGTGGCCTCCTCTGGACTTGTTCCAACAGTTCCATGTCCTTTTTATGTTGAGGACACCAGAACTGCACACAATGCTCCAGGTGAGGTCTCACGAGAGCAGAGTAGAGGGGCAGGATCACCTCCTTCGACCTGCTGCTCACGCTCCTTTTGATGCAGCCCAGGATACGGTTGGCTTTCTGGGCTGTGACATCTGCATTGGTTTTAGCAGCTGAAAGTCAAAAGAGCTGTAAACCCAAAATCTGGTTTTATCGAAGCTCTTTTCAAGCTTCACTGAGAACATAATGCAGCAATTAACTGGGCTGTTGTTTACCTCGACTGATTGATCAGAAGTATCAGTGTTCATGTGTTTTTGCACCCAGTACAAATGCATTTTAATGAGTTATTTGCCTTTCTTGTGCTGAAAACACAACATCTAGCACACAGCTTTTAGGAGAACCACAGAATGGTTAGGGTTGGAGAGGACCTTAAGTTCATTGAGTTCCATGAGCCTGTATCGCTCCGAATTAGCACCAGGAGATTCCTCACTTGTCTGTAACAAAAGCCTTACCTTCCAGAAGTCAGCTTTGCTCCGAATGGTCCCAAAACCATTCTCACCCTCAGCGGGCTCCATGAAGAGATGGGACATGACTGTGTTCAGGTGGTACATGTCTACGCTCACCATGCCGAAGGCCACTGGAAAGAAGGCGCAAAGAAAGGATGCTCACAGGCTAAAATGAGAGCATGACGACAGCTTCTAACCTTGCTTCGCTTGTCCCTAGCTCAATCTGCTAGAGAAAGGCGATTTGATTGAAGTGGTGCTTTGGGGTGGATAAAGGGGATAGGGGAAGAGGCAGAGCGCACACGGTAGGGACTTGTCAGCAGGGCTCGAGCCCTTTGATGACTTACTGTCCTGGGTTCAGCAGTAGCAGTCATTTTTCTCCTCCTTGGTAGCTGGTGTAGTGCAGTGTTTTGACTTTCAGCTCGGGAACAGAGCTGATAGAGATGTTTTGGTTTGGCCAAGGACTTTGTGAGCCTCATGCTCTGCCAGGGAGGAGGGGAAGCCAGGAGGAAGCAGAGACAGGACACCTGACCCAAACTGAGCAAAGAGGTATTCCATACCACAGCACGTCATGCCCAGGATGTAACTGGGAGTTAGCCGGAAGGGCTGGGAAACTGCAGGGTTGGAGGAGGTATCGGTTGGAGCTTGGTCGGGCTTGGGGGGCGAGTTATCGGTCAGTGGGTGCTGAGGTGTTGTATTCTGTTCCCTTGTTATTTCCTTTATCATTATTATCATTGGTGGTAGCAGTAGTGATTTGTGTTATACCTTAGTTACTAAACTGTTCTTATCTCAACCCGTGGGAGTTGCATTCTTTTCGATTCTCCTCTCCGTACCTCCGGGAGTAGGGGGAGGGAAAGAAAGGGGGGGGAGTGAGTGAACGAGTTACCTGACTGGGTTTAAACCACGACACTTACGTATGCAGAGGTCTATGAGGAAGACCACGTAGGTGACCAGCTCCCGCAGCATGTCCTTCAGCTCCTGCTCACTGGTGCCCTTCTCCTGGGCCTTCGGGGTGCCTGCTTGGGGAAAGGGCGGCAGGGGCAGAGCCCGGTCAGGGCACGGGGCCCTCAGGCCGCGGCCCGGCCCTGAGGGGAAGGGAGCGGGGCCGGGCCGGGCCGGAGGGCAGCGGGGCCGCCTGACGCACCGCGGCCGGGCAGCCTGTGGTCCGCCGCTGCCGTGGGCTCCATGGCGGCCGGGCCGGGCTGGGCCGGCTCCCGGCGCTCCCCGGTGTGAGCCTCAAGGGGCGGCGGTGAGAGCATTCCCCCGCCCCGGGCCGCAGCTCGCGGTGCTGTGTTTCGGTTCGGGTCCGTCCCGCAGGCAGCGGTGGCAGGCCAGGCAGAGCCCGCGCCCGTCGGGCAGGATTAACCGGTGGCTGTGACCGGTTAAACCGAGCCGAGCGCAGGGAGCACGGGAGATCGGCGATTAAATGTACGGCAACGCAGCGCAGAGGGCTCCCAGCCGGGATGCTGCCGCTCAGCGCTGGTGCCGGGCTCTGGTCCAAGCAGTGCGGCGTCTTCATGCCCACAAGAAGCACACGGGTAATGGGGTATCGATCTGTGTGATCAGCTCAGACCCACTGCAGGACTTACTTCAGTGTATTTCATTGCCCGGGCAGCCCGGGGGGGGGAGGAAGATGAAGGATGGGGATCGAGCTGTTGTGTTTTGTGAGCAGTTTAATAGCATCGCGCTGTTCAGAGCTGGGGGTTTATTTAACGGCACTGCAGTGCTGGGGGGAAGCGGAGGCTTCATTTTTTCCATGCTGGAAGATGCTGTGGGGCTTGCTGACAAGCAGCAGTGCTGCTGTGCAACCCCCAGGAGCCCGTTCCACCCTCAGCCGTGTCCTTTTAGGAAGTACAGTGGAAAAATCTTCAGAGATCAGGCTTGGTGGAGTGGGCAAAATCGCATTTCATGGTATTTGTGGTTGTCATTCTGAGCAAGGTGGCTGTGAATAGCACCGCACAAACCATTTGGAGGATCCAAAGCAATAGGTTGTTGAGAGTCAACAGTCAGGTAAGTGACAGCCTTGATTAACGGAGCAAGGAGGGAAAACATAGCTTTAAAGCTTCAGATGATGCAGGGCAGCTTTCAGGTCAAGTGTGCGAGGAGAAAGAGGATTAATGGTGCCTCATTGACATGGTTTAGTGGTAAGGGAGTGCCAGCATCTAGTTTATAGGTATTAGAAGAGAAACAACGGGGGGAGCAGAGAGGGGAGGGAAGCAGTGGCAGACTTTAGAGGGTAAAAATCTACCTTTGCCAGGCTGCAGCTGATGCTAGACACATGCAAGCTGGTTTTAACAGATCAAGGAAGACTCACGGCTGATGTTGGCTACTCAAAGGTTTATTTGCCTCTAATTTATTCTCATAAAAACACTCTAATCTATTTGGGTTTAGTATTCAGACAGCACAGACTTCTGATACGATCAAGAGTGATATTAGAGCAGCAGTACAAACCAACCTACTTCAGCATGTAACCAAGTACAGGTAGACCTAAACCCACCCACGCTCGTACAAGCTAGTTAGCCTGCTTTCTTAGGCTTTATAGTTCAAATACAATCCTCAGTAAATGGTTACAGTCACCAAACCATATAAATAAACTCTAATATGGTAAAAGGGGAAGAGCTGAATGTGCGAGAAAGTAGAAATCTGTAGATAGGTATTTTGCTAATGAGGGCAATCACCAGTTAACTGCATCTATGTTGTAATTGTCTCTTACAGGTGTGAGATCTCCTCTTCCAGTTAAAGTTCATCACTTTCATACAGTCCCGACTGCTCAGCCAACCGCTGAAACTCTCCTTCTGGTGAGAAAGCTTGTTTCACATCCAGTCCTCTTCCATTAAGTGCCAAATACTTGCTGAAAGTTGGTCGGACCCGTAACTGCTTTGGGGCTGGAAGTGGCTTGTTTGTGTGTGCTGGAAGAGAGAAAAAAGCCTCCTTCAGTGTCTGTGGAAAGACTCGGGGCAGAGCAACCCAGTTCCTTTTTATCTGCAGCATAAACTGGCAAACCCTTAGGAAGAATTTAACAGACCAAGCCCATATCTCAGACACCAGAGATTTATATTCACCTTCCTTCTTGGCATCAAACTGTAGTCTTTAAACAGTGCAGATAACAAACAGCGTTCAAAGGACACATCACAGTGTCCTGACACTCAGCAAAAGAGATTTCCTGAGAGAGTTACATTTTGTCTGGGTCACTATCTTTGGAAAGCAATCCTCCCAGCACTCTAAGCTTCATTAGGTTCACCTTGAGGGTCTGCTCTGAATGCCAGGGGCAGTTTCAGTTGTGGTTGTGGCACTGTGATGTGGTACTTACTTGCAACCTCTAGCCTGGCATGGCATGTGGCTACTCCTGCTCCATTGACAGCAGACACAGTGTACCAACCAGCATCTTTCTTGTTTGCATTATGAATCAGGAGGCAAATCCTTCCAGTGTTGTCATGTAACAAGCTGAAAAGTGAAGGTGTTTGTGTAAGTGCCGCATAAGGAGAGAAGACATTGAAATCAGAGAGACAGCTTACATGCTGAGGAACTGAGCAAGTCCTAGAACGATTCTTGCAGGGCTATTTAGACTTCAGCACTGCATTTGTATTGTCAGCCACTAGTGATGCCAGGTCAGGTTGGACGGGGCTTGGAGCAACCTGCTCTACTGGAAGGTGTCCCTGCTTGTGCAGGGGTTGGAACTGGATGAGCTTGAAGGTCTGTTCCAACCCAAACCAATGTGTGATTGACATCATGTGAATCATATCATGTAGCATCAAGGCCCTTTTGTAGCTCCATTGCATCAGCACATGATGGATGCATTGCATGTTTCAATCCTAAGGCCAGGCTTCTGCGTGGGCCTTGTAACTGCTGCTAGAATTCAGTGTGGCATCTAGTCACAGTTTTCTCTCTGTGCCCTCAAAACCAAGACTTATGGTCCTGGTCACTGTGTGTCATAAACAAGGGGCAGATCTAGCTTTCCAGCTTGCTGCTTTTAAAACCAGCCAATTTTGGCTTAACAAATACTGGTTATTGTTTTCTAACACACCAACTCATTAGTGGGATACCTTATTCGGTCTGTATTATATTGTACCATTTCGTTGTTTCTTTTCCAGTAAATCCTGGGTGTTGGGATAGCAGAGATCTGGCATTCGAGTCTGGCTGTATCTCCTTCAAAAACCTTTTTGCTTTGTGGCTTGAAGATGAAAGTTGGCGGCGTGTGGTGTTCTTTGGCTAAATTAAAGAAGATAAAGAGGAGTTACTGTAAGTACTGAATGCTAATGTCAGGCTTGGTTTTTAAGATATCAGAATGTTAATTCAGTGGGGCACATGCTCCTTACTGCATCTCCTTAGCATATAGGCAATTCCCATGAGCATAAGGGTATAGTAGACACAATCCAGTTTAGGAGGAGAGTCAGTCAACATAGGTTATTCGTCTTGGGAGATTAACAGCTCCCAAATTCTGGACATCCCACTACATCTAAATGTCCCATCAAAAGGGATTTGAAGAAATATGGCATCCTGGATGTATGTTTTAAAACAGTCTTGGAAAAGGTAAGGGGTTTGCTGTCATTTGAGACTGAATATATAGAGATCTAGCTCTGCTTCTTAATTGGTTTATGTTCCAAATGCATGGAGGAAAGCATTAGACTACTGAGATTTGCCATGTGTGGTCAGGTAGTTATCAGTGCTCTCAGTCTTACCAATGACTTCCACTTTTACTGCGAAAGATGCTTCTCCTGCACGGTTGACAGCCACACATTCGTATGTCCCTGCATCAGAGGACTTGACAGCCTCAAAAATAAATGAGTGGAATCCCTTTTCTGACACTATCATTTTATGGAACTGATCTTGATGAACCATCCTTCCATTCTGATACCACATCACATCTGGAGTTGGCAGCCCACTGACCTGTGAAGGAGAGAAAAGCAGTGAAGAGTTAAAACAGGTTTTGGACTATAAGGCTCTTCAATGTTATGGGGATTTTGATGCCCATAAATGATCAAATCATGATCCTACCACAAAATTTTACAGTCTTGCCTACTTTTGAATATTAACGTGGAGCTGCACAGAGAGGAAGGCTTCTGAAGTGCTGTGGAAAGATGAGCTTTAGCTTCAAGACGATAGAGGCTGGTCCTACAACCCCCTGACCCATCTTGTAAGGTAGCTTTGATTAGCCAGGTACTCATTGTGGGTTCGTGGAAGGGGAAACTCTCCCTTTTGATGCCACAGCTCTCACTGTCAGCAGTGCTGATATCACACTCTTTTGATAATAGATGTAAATAAGCTGTCCTGCAGACATGCTGCAGGTTGTCCACAACATTCAGAAGTTAAGCAATTTGCAGCAAAATGCCAAGTCTGGCAAGAGTTTACTTAAGGAAAGAGATTGGAAGTGATTAAGGGAAACCAAGCCAAACCACAACCAGCAAACAGCCTTTGCAATGAAGTTGCATGTGCAGATCTAGGTTCTTTCTTACCCTAGGGTTGGTACAACGGCCGTGCAGTTTCAGGCCATTTTGTCTGTTTGTAATTAGGGCATTTTCTTGCCAGATTATCTGCTCCAACAAGGGCACAGTTACCTCAGAGAAGGTGGTGGGCTGTATTTACCACTCTTAACTTTAACCATATTCTCATGCAACTCATTACATTTACATCTTCCAAGGGGAAAACATTTCACCATCTCCTGTTTCTAGGTTTACACTGCCTGGAGAGACATTGTACCATTTGCCATCAGTGCTCTGGCTTGCAAACATGCATAGGCACTGCCGTCCAGAGACCCTTCCGTGCCACACACCCCACAGAGCTAATGGGACTGCAAGGGAAAGGCTGGCATTACTTTGAAGTCGAGCCTGCAGAATCGCCCCTCCTCAATAATCACGTCTTCAGGCACTTGCGTAAAACGTGGCTGGAAAAACTTCTCCTGGATTGAGTCGTGTCCACGTTCATCTCCTCTTGAGGATGGTCTGCTCCTGAAAAGTGGGCAGGAAAAGCTGATTGTGTACAAGTTACCACAGCACGAATGACATAAAACACTGACTGCAGTTGAAGGCCCTCAACACGTTCAGGAGTCCAACACTACGGTTCTGGTTTGGTTTTCAGCTGGAAGGCATGGGCTTTGATAACCACTTATCTTGCTCAAGTTGTTCAACACAGAAACAAGACCGATGAAGCCTTCATCTTTGGCCTAATATCCAAAAGAACTTACAAGGCTGTGTTTCAGCATTTACATTGTCAGACCTTGCTGTGACTAGAGAGTAACCTTCCAGAATACGAAGCATATTTGCCCTAGGTACACTGAGCCTTTAAACCTCCAGTGTTATACTTAGAATTGACTGGATTAAGATCAAAGGCATCATAAATGGTAGAGTTTTTGTTGAAAAGAAGAAAGGGACTTTGTAATTACTACTTTATAAAAGGTGATAAGTAGTGAAATAAAACCAACATTGTCTACAAACAGTTGAAATAAGGTCTTGAGGTAGCACAGCAACTCTTACATAGTTTATGCATTACCTTACGTGTGTTGTAGGAATCTGCAGTCTGATGTTTTCTGCGTTCTGGTGTTTGGAAAGAGGAGAGCAAGAGGTGAGTTAACACAGAAAGTTTTATCTATAGACTGAACAAGAAGCCGTTTTAATGTCATGTACTGATTGCTGCTTAAAAGCAAACTGAATTCTTCAGGAGTCATCGGGATAAGAGGTAGAGGAACTCGCATCAGGAGCTAATACACTGCTTTCACCCTTAGCTTTGCTATGACAGTAACAAGTACTATTAATAGGATGGCACAACTCCTCATCACTCTGCACAGGTGATAGGTGCAGCAGCTTTTGTTTGGCCGGCCAAAGGCCTTGTGTGCCAATAACCTTTGTTAGAGGGGAATAGTACTACCAGCAGTATCTAAAATGAGAGCAAAGTACAGAGTGTCCTTCCCTATAGCAGGAATAGAAGTGGAATCGCTGGCAAGAGCACTGTATTGTGCCCACTTAAATATGGTACCAAGAGCAATGGACGCATGCTGAGCTGGAAAATTTTTCTCTTTCTAGATCACAGCACCAAGTAAGCTCACTGACAACTCCACCATCACATGAGTGAATCTGCTCCATACCCAGGACTGATCCCTGCTAGGAACTTACACGTCTGGAAATGCAGTTTATTACCAGTGACTCCTTTTAGCAATGGAGTCAGACAGAGGAGATGCTGCATGGAAGTTTCTGGTGTGTTTGCAATTAGCCATTATGATGCTTGGTTCTGTGCTTGTAGTCTAGTTCTGTAGAACATTTAAGCCAGGGTTTAAGCTTCAAGCACAGAAGCAGCCTGAAGTTCAGGGAAAGCATTTATGTGAATGAGGGGTTTGCTGGACTGAACTCAAGCAAAGGCAATGGCTTGTATCTGCTCATTTACACAACTTCTGTACAATTACTTGTCTTATGAGATGATGCTGTAGTGATGGAGCTGCTGCTAATTTTAATGCTCTATTATATGGACTGACTGTGTAGTTAAGTTCCTGAGGAATCAGGAAGCTGAGTGATGCATCAGTGACTACAGTATTTAAAAATAAGACTGAACAATGGGAATAAGGTCTCCCCATCTCCCAGTGCTCCTTTTTATGCAGCATTTCACACATCCTAAAAGCTGTCAGTTACCCTGTTTTGACTGACTCTTTCCTTGTTATCTGCAAAAGATAGGGCTTTCCTTGCACTGACATCCGTAATGTTCCCTTCTTACCTACTCTTGTCAGGTGATTACTGGGGATAAATAGCTCAAATGCCGTATTCCTCCCTTGCTGTGATCTTAAGTGTTTCTTCTAGGGAAGAGTTTTGCTAACCACACTTTGGAAGGTGCGTGCCAGGCTGCTGGCTCTATGGGCACGCAGCAGGAAGGATGTTTTCTTTGGCTGCACAGGTACCCGGTGCACACATCACAGACATTTCCACTAACTTTGATCACAGGAGTGCCAAAGAGAGCTTTTAACTGGCCTGAATAACCAATGAGTGATGCAAGTCTCCAACTAAGATGCTTTTGAAGATGCCAGGAGCGACAGATTCTCTTCTGTCAGCGTGTGGGCTGCTAAAATAACTGCTTTGCTTCCTCTTAATGAATGCAGGCCCCTGGAGGGGCTAAAACTCAACTGATCCCACCCCAAGGCCCTGACCTCATGTAGTGAATGTCACTTGCTCCGAGCAGTGACAGGTGTAAATCTTGCTGCCCTGGCCCTGCCTGAACTCAGGCTGTTAGAGTTGGTACCTGTATCACTCACTGTGCTGCTCCCTGCCTGTCACCCCACAGTGCTGTGCAGCAGCTGTTGTAATTCTTCCTTGGTGAGGTTATTCCTACAGATCAGGCCCAGCAAGGGGATGGTGTTTAAATTCCCTCCTCCTGCCACCACCACCCAAAAAACCCCCTAAAGTGAGAGCAGTCCCCTTCCATCTGCTGCACTGTTACCGGATAAACCCCATCTCTCTGCCCTGCTCAGGTCCAAGCAAGCCACAGCACAATCACCAGGAAATCACTGTTCTAGAGACAGGTCCCCTTTTACCTGTGCGTTCTGCATGTTGTCTTCACTTTGTGTTTCCAACACGGATGCAGCATTTACTGGTCCGAGCAGCCTGCGAGCCATTCGTTCTTCATAAGTTAATCGCTTCAAGCAGAGTGGAGAGGAGTTCTAGTCAGAAGTCCATTCCCTATTTCAGGTCAGCTTGTAAGAACGTATTAATATGCCACAAATTCAGGGTGTTGTCAATGGGAGCAGTGGCTGAATAGAACCCCCCCGTCTGTTCCAGAGGGTTTGCAGTCTGTGATGCCTGCTGAAGTCAGCCTCAATATATACAGCACTGAAATGCATCAAAGATTAAACTGCCTGTTCATCAAAGCCTCTCTAATGCCATCTGTGGCCTTCCACCCCTCCTCTTTCTCCACTGCGATTATTTATGGGTAACTGATGGCATTATCTCAGAAGCCAGAGTAAGTCCCAGGGTACCATTCTGTTAGAGCTGGGAAAACTTTCCAAGTCATTCAGCTGTGGATTTACTTCAGGAGCTAGAGCCATGATGGATGCTATCTCACATAGCCCCAGTAAAGCAAGAGCCACACTAGCAGCAGACATAGCCAGAGGGGAGCACCACTACCCCTGAGAGCACAAGGGAAGCTTATGCCAGTGCAACAGCCCCTGATGGAATGCTGAGAGAAGGCAAGAACATGTTTCAGTAGGAACAATAAGTTCCTATAATACAGATGCAGCACATAGGGATAAATATGAGAGGGGTTAAATTCAAGTTCTGTCATCTGGGTTATTTTAGAAGAGCCCATCAGTCCCCTGAGCACCAGAGCACCTGATTCTTCACTTCCCACAAGGTTTACCTTGGGTTTGATTTTGTGATGCAAGGACAAGCTCTCACTGGGTTTCTGCTCTGTGTATGGGACGTGTGTGTAGCTACTACTGGGTAGGTAAAGGTTTAAGGAGGCTTCTGGGACTTTTCTTTAGAAGAGAATGAGAGAGCTCTTGGAAAACCTATGAGAGCTTAATATCCCCGAGGTCATTGTGGCTGTATCAAGTGTGGCTGAGATTGGCCAGTTGGTTCAGACGTTGTTGGAGGACAAGGGGATGAGGACACAGCACAGCGATTGCATAAGCCTTATTTTTAGCCTGGCTTCCTATGGGAAGAAAAGCTGGCTTGCAATGGCAGGCTTTCCTACAGCAGATAGGACGTTCCTGGTAAGGACACATTAAGTCAGATTTGACCTCATATATTCTTTTTCCTTCAATGTTTAAAGTAATATATGTGACACAAACCTGTTCCTGCTGATGGTAATGGAAAAACTCTTTTATATTCCAGCGAAAAGAAGATGGAAACTATAAACACTGGGCTTTTACCTGTCTGCCTCCAGCCAGCAGGAAGGTTCCCGCATTAGAGACCTGCTCACTTTAGCTTATTGTTATGGGCTTCCCTACTGGTAAGCAATTTTTTCTCCTAGAGTTGGATTTCTTGGTAAAGGGGATTGCATTTTTCCCCTTTGCAGAACAAATAAGTAGGTAGTGAGACTAAGAGTCCTTCTTATAGGAGATAAGATTTGATGATGAAAGCTCATGTAATTTCTTTGATTTTCTGTTCATATAAAACCCAAGCAAAGAGGTTTACCACGTGTGGTGATGGTCTCTAGAATGAGCTTTCAAATATTGGTACTTCTCTAAGTGTCTAATGATTCTGGGTGGTTTATTAACCCCAGCATAGAAAGCCAGGGTGAGATGGTGTCTGGAGAACTGAGGGATTCTCCTTGGGTTTCTAGTCTGTAGATGTGATGCCCAGCAGAATCACCAGCAGAGTTCAAGTTCATACCATGGCTCTAAACAGGTACCTTTCTCCCAGTCCTGGCCTTATTGATTTGATTGCACAAATTCAAAGACAGCTTGAATGGTGTGTGCTAGCCAAGAAGGTAGGATAAGAGGAAAGGCAATAGCAGATTAAACCCATCTTGCTGCATCAGATGGCTTTCAGAAGTTAACACATCCCTTTCTGATGTCATGGGAGATGCAGACATTCAGTTGCCACAGTACATACCTACAGACAGATTTACAGCAACCATCTCTTGCCATTCATTCAGTGTTTGGGCAGTGTTCCTCCAGCGTTTCCTTCCACTTTCTGCTCAGTTTGGAGTGCCTCTGGGCACTAGAACTATTCTCCACATCCCCGCTTGCGCTACCAAGAGTCAGAGGAAGCTGGTTCTTCCCTCAGCAGGTTTCCCTTACCTGGTTGCCATTCTGGAGAAGGTTGTCTTTGCATCGGAGTTTCTTTTCCAAGTCCTGAATGAGGGCCTCTTTTGTTCCTCGAATTTCATGGTCTGAAGTCTTCTGCATAGAGTTGATGCTAGCTTGTTTGTTATACATTGGTTGTGAGTAACTGCTCATGCAGGAAGAGAAAACAAAGTTATTTCTGTAGGCCTGCTTGACAGCTTCACAGAACGCACGCAAGATGAACCTGCTATCTAGAAACTGTAGTTCAAATGAACACCTAAAGCATTTGGGAGATAGGTAGGCTGGGTGGCATAACTGGGTATCAAAAGGGGAAACATCACGGTCAAACCAAATCACTGAGTTCCTCCCACAGCACTCGCAGCAGTTTGCTGTGGGTGGCTGTTCAGCATCTCTACACCCTGCAGTGGCCCCTGCCAGGCCTCAGATGTGCGCTAGCAATGTGGCCCATTTGGGAGCAAGTTCTTCCTCAGAAACTGCATTCCTTTGCAATTACCATTGTTAGTAAAGCCCTGGTGCTGCAAATCCTCAACAAGGTCACAAACTACTTGACTGGGTATGAGCAAATAGCTTATTAGTTGTCCTCTTCCTCTTGGCCCCAGAAAGCTACTTTCCATAGCACTTCTGTCCAGATGGTCAATAGCTGGGCTTACTGTAAACCAGGCTGGGTCTTTAGGACCCCATCACATGGCCCTGTCCTGTAATCCATAGTCAAGAGACATGGTCAAGTTTTGGAGTTAGACTTGATCCTGAAAGGTGCTAGAAAAGGAGGAACATCCTTCAAAATACATCTGCTCGAGGTCAGAGCACTCTGTGCTGACAGGGTCCAACCTGGTTTGCTACACACAGCATGGCCCCGATGCTGCAGTTGTGTTCAGCAATTATTTCTATTCAATTATCATTGCAATGCAATACCATCATCATACTATTCAAGTTATAATTCTGGTATGTATTCCCAGCACTGTTTGGACTTAATAACTCGCCCATGTTACAACTTTAAAACATTAATAATTTGCCCAACAGATTAATGCATCTCCTGTCCCCATCTGACAATGTGGAGCATGATAAGGAAAATAATTCCTCAACTCACAGGATGCTGTGTTGAAGAACAGCTGATATGAAAAGCACAATGAGGCACTAAAGCTCTTTGCTATGAAAACAGCCCCACACTACACACAGAACCCAGCAGTTACTCCAGATGCATAACTAACCCCACACACTCCTGCAGTACTATTAAGCAACAGCGCACTCAGCCTTACCTTTCCGCTGCGCACAATACTGTGATTCAAAGAAATCCCACAACCGTTCAGATTCCCTGGCCACAAACTGGAACTTAAACCTGGATTTATACCCAAGCCAGCAGGACCCCAGCCCCTATCACCTTTCTAACATCCTCGGTTGAGCGTGGTGTGTTCCGCACTGACTTTCTGCAGGACTTCCAGCTAATATTGGCAGGAATACAAGTGGTGAGAAGGCAAGACCCAGCTCCCTCTGACATCTCATTGACCTTGGAAGATATTTGGATTGCAGCCCAAAGGAAAAATGATATAATACATCTTCAGGAAAGAATTTAGGCTTTGGTCTGAAGGGGTAAAGTTTTCATGTGGCCGCCTTCCTGTTATGATTAATGAAAACTGTACTGTAGGAGAGCATAGAGTCCCATCGTGATGTGGAACATGAAGGTACTGCTGAGACTTACTAGGAACCTTGGTTAGATGTGGGATTACTACTGCCTTCCCCCCTCCCTCCCCATCCATGAGCCATGTTTGCTGGGAGAAACTCATTTGAGATGGGTGTCCATCCTCTGGTGAAGACACTTAAATAAGAGTTTTACATCAAATCAAACTGAACTGTTCAAACTGACTCCAGAAAAGCTGCCCAGCAGCCCCTGACATGACTGCTGTGCAGTTTAATTCCTGGTCGGATACCCATCTGTCCCACACAGACACCAAGGGCAAGCACTCAGCCTCCTAACCCGAATCATGCAGAGTCCTCCCTCAAACATCAAAAGTCAATGGGGGTTGTACCATTGGCTTCGGCCAAGCCGGCGCTTCACCAGATGGTTGGATTTGGGGTGGTCAGTGCACGGGAGAGGCCAGGCCAGAGGAAAGCAAGGGGAGGTTAGAAGCCTGTATATACTTACTGAGGTTCCATAGGAGAAGGAGTTTGGCTGTTATAGTCGGGCTGCGAGGGTAGCACTGAGCACAGGAATGCTGCGGGGGGTTGGTTAGGCATGGATATAAGCCGTTGCCCGGATGAGGAGCTAGCAGGAGACTGCGCGGATGCAGGAGTGACGGGATATGTGGATTCCTTAGGGGCACTACAGGAGGGCGAGGAGAGCGTGATTGAAGAGCTCAGCGATGACGAGGAGGAGAATTTCTGCCCGCTGGGGTTACGAGGCTGTATTAGGATGGAGGATTGTTTGAGTTGTCTGCTTGACTCGGTAGAGGCTGCGGGTCCCGGAGGCTGCTGTTGCCCTTGGCACACATTCTTAGACTGGATAAAGTGTTTTGGACGCTCGTAGTTAAACATGGTTGGTTGACACATAGAGGAAACGGATGGGAAATTAGGGACACTCATAGGAGAGGTTTCGCGGCTGTCCTGGGTTTTTGTTGGTGATAACTGGCTTTGGATGGGTGCCTGGTAAAAACTAGGTGGTAGGCCACGAAAGCTGTCTTGGCTGGGCTCCTGGATAGAATGGAACCCTTGCCTTGCAGAATAGAGGCTTTCTTGGTGTGGATTTTCCCTTAAGGAAGACAATACAGATAAAATAAATCGCACATCACCATCTGAACCACAAAAATACTGTGTTGTGAGCAGTCATGAGCAATCCAAAGTGGAGGAAGTTCAGACAATTAAAGCTTGAGCTTAAAATGAAGAGATTTAGGATTGATGAGAACTATTCCAGGACTGTATGAACATTTTGGATTCCAATACCAGGTCATGCACTCTGACTCGGGTGCAGGGCTCTTATCTGCAAGAGCCCAGTAAAGGAAACAGCAATGGGTTTATTGAGAGGACCATCACCTTCATAACACTATAGATGACTGTAAGTACTACTGCTAAGCAGGGTATTTTGCCATGTATCGTCTTAACTAAAGATCTCTGGCTCATACAGCTTTGTGCCCTGTCAAAATACTACATGTGCTCAGAGAATTGGCCATTTGTGCTGAGAAACTCCTTATTCCATAGGAAAGCATAAAACCAGTCCCACTCTTAAGCCTAAACCTTTGAAACTTAAGTATTCTCATTTCTTCTCTAATGGGTTTTGAATTCACAGCTTTTTATACCCAATTCATATTTGGCACTGGAATGCCAAGGATTGTGCTTGTCCAGATTTGCTGTTAGGGCTAATAATTACCAGCATGACATAGTTGCAGGATAAAATAGGGCAAGCCAAGATGCTTGGAGCTCCTGTAGTTATTCTGCATGTCCTTAATATCTAACCCCAGGTTTTCCATCAACTCTAAAACCCAGGAAAGCTTCACTAGAGAGAACTGAGCAAGTCTGATCAGAACTGAACTTGAGCACCAGGATAACTAAATAACCCCCAGAATAAACGTAAAGCTGCTAATAAAAAGCGAGACTATAAACCCACACAGTTACATGTGCTGGAAAAAATGGCAATCTTGCCCCAGTGAGCTCAGCTGTTTCACTGCTATATATACCCTGTATATTGTATCCCTATCCTTGCCGAGCTCAGGAAGGGCTCCGCGGGGTCATAAATTCCCGTGGGGGGGGGAGATGACTGAAGACATCAGTCTCCTTTTAAAGCTTCAGAGCTTTCACTTCCTAAAGGTAATTGTGAACATACATTGTGAATTGACTGCACAGAAATAGAGCTTTTCTACTAAAAATTCCCTGACTTTCCCCTTGGTTTGCTCGTGGAATCTGAAGCTGGCTTAAATTTTAGGAGCATATCCACAATATGCTCATGTTTGCTGATGCAGAAAAACTTGTTGGATCTTGGTTTGGTACCATTTTATATTGTTAACTGTGCACAGATCCATTCATTTAACCTCCGGGCTGTGCACAGAAACCAACGCTTTGCTCTCTAGAATCGCTTTGTTTGCTCGAATACTGCACTTAGAGGAGTGCACAGATTCACTAGCTCACAGCAAGGGGGAAGTCCTTCAGATCATCCCACCTTGATTTGGGCTGGAGAAACGCCATAAATCCAAGGAGACTTTTGACCTTGCGAGTCGAAAACAACCGGTAACAACAGCAAAACGCTTTTTCCCCATGGTTGCCTCCCACGTTCCCTTTGCCACCGCCGCCCCGACGGTGCCCCCCGCTCATCACCATCTCACTCCGGCTCCCTAACCGGCTCTGGAGCGCAAGGTGACGCTGACCCCCCCCAGCCGCAGCCCCTTACCTACCGCCTGGGTGCTGTCACCGGGCTGCGACCGGAGGGAGGGAGGGAGGGAGGAACGGGACGGGGCCCCGCAGCGCGGCCGCGGCTTTAATGCGCTGCCCGCGGGTGGCACCGCGCTGCCCGTCACCGCTGTCAGAATAAGAGTCTCCCGTCCCCGAGGGGCGGGAGCGGGGCTTGGCAGGTGCCCGCGGTCAGTGATCACCCGTCCGGCCCCCGCCGGAGCAGCAGGACCCGATCCCGCACCCTCGGGTCTCTCCTCGCACCAAGGGGAAGCGAAGGGGGCTCGATGCCCGGACGGCCCCGAGGGGAACTGGAGCAGGCGAGAGCTATAGGACAGAGAAGTCCCGGCTGCTCCGAACGGGGCAGCAACGGGGACGCGTCCGTAAATCCCGCTTCGTTATCTCACTGGAATTCCTGTTTTAATCCGTTTGCTAGTTAGCTACCTCTGCAGTGACGCTGCTCTGTTGCTGCTTGTAAGGCTGCGTGGTTAAAGGCAACACTTGAAAGGCAGAGGTAAATCTCTAAACAACCACCCAGCAGCAGATCCGGCCAAGCCTGGTGCTGCCCGCACCTCTGCTTCATCAGAGCAGCGGCAGTGCCGGTGGATCTGTCTGAAGGGTCATAAACGGGGTAATGCAAATAAAATACATTTGGTGGTAAATATTATGGGATTATGTTGCTGTTTGTGTATATTATTGCAGATATTTACTTGGATTACTCAGACCTGTTGGAGTGAGTCCAGAGGAGGCCATGAGGATGCTCAGAGAGCACCTCTGCTCTGGAGACAGCCTGAGACATCTGGGCTTGTTCAACCTGAAGAAGGCTCTGAGGAGACCTTGTAACAGTCTTCCGATACCTAAAGGGACTACAAGAAATCTGGAGAGGGGCTTTTTACAAGGACATGTAGGGACAGGACAAGGAAAACGGATTTAACCCGAAAGAGGGGATATTTAGGTGAGATGTTAGGAAACAATGCTTCCCTTTGAGGGTGCTGAGGCGCTGGCACAGGGTGCCCAGAGAAGCTGTGGCTGCCCCATCCCTGGCAGTGTTCAAGGGCAGGTTGGACGCAGGGGCTTGGAGCAACCTGCTCTAGTGGAAGGTGTCCCTGCCCGTGGCAGGGGTTGGAACTGGATGAGCTTTAAGGTCCCTTCCAACACAAACCATTCTAGGATTAAAAGATGCAGCTGTGGTGTTTTCACCCGAACAGCAACAGATCCTGCTGGCTGGCAAGTCAGGTGATTTGTATCCCTTTAATCAAGGGCCTCAATGCTTAATTACATCTTACTTAAACAACTATAATGTTAATTTATCTTAATTATACTTTAGCAGCTCTTGCCCAACATACACACTATTATTTAAACCCCCCATCCCATAGCGGGGCTGCACGGGGTCCCTCAGTTGCCTCCCTTTGCTGCACTGATGGGTCTTAAAGCAGAGCTGAGCTTCAGGAGTTAATCCACACTTCGTGTTTGTATTCAAACATCAGCTCCTGTTGTTTGTGAACTAAATCTACATGGCAGGTGTTAATTGAGTGCTAATTTACTCGAATTCCGCGTCGTGAGAGTGATTAAGGGAGGAAGTGAGGCGCTGGCGGTTGGAGAGGTAATTTGCTTTTTAAGCAATAACGATTAAAAACCCCTTTAGTTTGCACAGCGTATTAAAAGAAGGTGACTGTAGGGAGCTGTGAGCATGTTGAAGGTCAGGCTCTGTGCTCACACAGGCTCCCTGCACCTCATACTCTTCAATGAGAGTGCGGTCTGCTTGTTTGAGAAGTAAAGCTGCCTACAAGGCATCGCTTTATGCGCTTAAAGACTGGACACGACTAGGATGGCTTGCGTGGAAGAGAAGGAACAGGAAAACACGAGATCCAGAAGGCAGGAATAGCATTGAAAGAACTAGAAGCTGAACCGATAGAGGCAGAGGAATAAACCTCCCAGCCTATGCTAAGGTAACTTAATAGCACTGCCCAGCACTGCGTGGTGTTAGAAAGCAGCTTTTCTGCACTGCTTCAGTTTACTTTCTATGAACAGTGTTGGGTCTGATTGGGTTCTCCTGCTTGACTCATACAGCAGAAACTGCCTACATAAAACGTTAAGAGTCTCTTGCTTATTTATTAGGGCCTCTTAAAAGCTACCTGGGGGTATACATATAAATATAATATATAAATATATAATTAGTTCATGATTAATACTAATCAGTATAGATTTTGTTCTTCCTCTTTAAGGCTATTGGGAAGGCCACTGTAAGCTGCAGATACAAAGGGCTCAGAAAGGACTAGCTGGTAGTGACAAGTCCTGTAGAGCTGCGCTTTGTAGCTCTTGTGGAGTAGCTGTTGCTAAGCAATGTTTTGTAGACCATGAGTATGAGGACTCCATTCACTTTATAGTTATCCTCAGTAGTAGCTTTGTTCTGTCCTACACTGTTGGTATTGCTTCTTGTCTCTGGTAATACAGTTGCAACCATGTACGCTGCATGGGAGCTGCACAGCTGAATCTGGCTAACAAGACAGTTATTATACAGCTCATCATTAGAGATGATTGCTTAGTTTGAGGTAGCAGCAACATTTACAATGCTGAGTCCTATTCAGAATGATGTTTCAAAGCACATGGCAATAAGACTGTGGGCTTTAGAGACATTTAAACTCTCATAGATGGGTATATCTAGAAACTTTAATAGTTTTCTTGGTGTATCTTGAGACATGTAAACGCCTTCCAAAATGTGGTTCAGCATCACTGTCAATCGAAAGCACTCTGCAGTTCTAGACTAGTTAATGTTTTAGATAACCCAAATTTTTAAGAGCTGATTTTGGTGGTATTTTATATCCCTTCATGCAGGGTATCAGGTGCTACAGCTCCCTGCTGCTGCTGCAAGTGATAAACTTTCCAAGCAGGCATCCTGAGCAGCAAGTATCATCTAAACGAGCTTCCCCACAGCTTGCCTGTTATTAATGCCAAAACACAGGCTTCTTGCTGCCTTTAGGAGAGGCTGGAGAGCTACTCCTGTTCTAAAAGGACAGGCATCAAATATATCCTGCTGCCCCATCCCTTCCAGGAGGTAATTATGCTAATGATTATTTTAGAAAGGTTATAATTCTGCTCTGCAGACTATTAGCAGTGTGCTTGTGTTTCAAACAGTCATCGTGTAATGATTCCAAGCAATGCAGTGTTGTTCTGCATTAGGTACTCCCAAGCAAACAGCCTTATCTCGAGGTGGTTGGACCTGGGGTAGTTGAGGGTGAGTTGACTTGAACAGGGTGCTGCCTTCACATGCTCTGCTTGTGATCCTTGAAGGTGACAACAGCACGTGCAGGCTGCATGTAGTGAGTTTGGAGAGGGGTGTTCAGAACTGTTAAATAACTGAGTTTAATTAAAGTGGCTGAGTACATCCCAAAGTAATCCATACCACAGAACACTTTCTGTCCCACACATCCATTTACACACAGTGTAACAGGATCACCGCAGTGCAGCGCTGGCATTCAGCTGGGAGGAGGCACACGTCTGCCTTGTGGCTCTCGCCTTCACAAAGACAACTGAGGACGCTTACTCTGCAGGCCTTGGACCTCTTAACTGTCACCATTTGAGGTCTCTGTTCTGCCTATAAACACCTGAGAAACGCTACAGAAATTGGGATGGAATTGCTAAGAAAGGTGTGCATTCTGACTTGCTTCTGTGGAGCAATGAAACAGGATAAGTAACAATGCAGTAAGTGCATTAGCTACTTGAGAGCTGCATTTGGGACAGAAATTGGATCGAGCCTTGTTATGAGATAGAACACTTTGTCCTTGGGGAAAGCCTCCATGTCCTGAGTGGGGAGTGTCACTGCTGTGGCACAGGACAGTTTGCATTCTATCCAGTGGGTCACCGGTTCAGTGCTTTTCCTCCATAAAGTGCTTTGCAGGTACCATCTGCACCACACTGCCAGGATCTCGAGTTTTATTGCTCTCATTCAGAATGGGAAATGGAAACATGAGGTGATGCCATTTGGCTGAGGCTACAGAACTGCACCCCAGGTACTGTCACCTCTGCCTCATGCTCTGCTATGGCGCCAAAAGTCTTCTAGAGACGAATTATCTGGGGCCATGCTTTAACGTTACTTACAGATAGGCACTGGTGAAAATGCTGTTTACTGCATCTGCCTCTTTCCCTGTTCATGTATGGGGTCTCAGGATCTTTATGGCTGAATTGTGGGGTCACCAGACAGTCCATCCCCTAAGGATTGTATAAAGCTAACCCGGGATGTGATGCTGTCTTACCGCAGAGGTGAAGCCTGAGGTGAATCCTCATAAGCTCCATGAAAATCATCAGCTTCACTCTTGGAATTCATCTGCCCGAAGGTTGTGGCTTCTCCTCGACCACCCATGCCCGGGGGCTCTGTGCTGTAGGACAGCCCAGCCAGGTCTCGCTCCTTGGCTCCTGCCTGGCTGTTCCTAGGGAAGGTGGGTTTCTTCATGGTGACTTGCACAGCAGGCCTGTGGGCAGCACCTGCAAAGCTTTCCAGCTCTTTTGCTCCTGGAAGAAGAGGTGTCCACAAGTGAGTGCTGGTTCACCAGTACAGTGGGATGGGGTAACAGGGGAAGGGAAACTGGCCTGTCCGTGTAGGTGGATGGGAGTTCAGCCTGCCTGTGCTCTGCATGGACCGAAACCTGCACAGCTGCATCAGCCAAACCTGCCTTCTCAGCTGATGGGCTTTGATTTATGTGAGGTGCTGCTCTGTTTGGAGATGCTTTCAGCACAAGCCAGACCAGTCATGTGTTATGATAAACAAGGTTAGGTACAGATAATGCATTGGCTAAGCTGGAATCCCTGAAGGGATGAAGCTCGGGGATGAGACATCATTTGCACCTTGTCATCCTTGACTTAGGAAGAAGAGAGGGTAAAAGCAGAGACACAGAGCAAATTGCTTCCAGTTTTGAGAGGTACCCAAGCAGTCTGCATTTCTGGGACGTTTCTCTTGAGCCTACCAAAGTGTTTGGGTCTGGCTTCTGCTTGGCAAATATCTGTGATTCTGCCTGATGTTGAGCAGCAGCAAATTCTCTTGTGCTTAGTTGCTTAGCTAAGAAACCCATGTACTTACCTGGGGACACAGAGAGATGAGCACTGGATGCTGCAGATCCAAATTCATTTTCAGCCACACATTTAAATATCCCAGAGTCTTCTGGAAAAGCTTCTGTAATAACCAGGGTGCAGACTTCCTCTGGAATAACAAATTGAGGCATGCTGTTGTACCATCAAAGCCAAGTGTTAATTTGTGGGAAGTGGTTCTTGCAGAAGGGCTGTTACTTAGTGACGGGGGTTGGCAGCACTGAAGTGCATAAAAAGGGATGCAAAGCGCATAGGAAGTCGAGGAATTCCGAAGGAGCAAAGTTGAGGGAGGAGTCTTTCCTCCTGTGACTTTAATGGAACAAAGAACGTTTTCTTGTGCTCAATTTTGTGTTCTCTTGCTCAAGTTTAAACCTCAGAGAAGATTACAGGTCAGAATGGGTGATAGTTTTCCCTTAACATGCAGGATACTCTGTTGAGAAAAGCATCGGGGTCTTTCAGATGCTTGTGTCAAAACTAAGAACTTGAGAGCTCTACATCTGACACTGGATGTTATCTCTGGCTACCCTCTGAGCACTGTTGTTTTATCTTGGATAAGGTGACAAGAACTAAGTGTGGGGTAAGTAACTGATGAGATGTCTGACACAAACTGCACTGTACTTACCAGGAAGTGCTGATGAACAAGCCTCTGCTCAAAATAAGAGAGAAAGAAATCCAATGGTTATAATGCCAGAATAAAGACCTTCAGCCCTTGCTTTCTTTCCCATCTCAGCTCCCACCCCTCTGTGTCCATCAGGAGAAATACTACGCAGATAGGGAAAGCCCAGGTGTGGATGGGGAACCTGATGGTACAACCACATCTCCCCTGAGGTGATAGAGAAAGAGCTCCACTGACTGTGGAGTTAGTTACTGTGAATTTGCTCCACTGGAGCTATGAGTTCATGCTTGGGAGTATCATAAATGGTTTAAAATGTACTTATATTTCCTATGTTCATCAGTAGTTATACTATACAATGCCTCCATGGCTCAGTAGTGCTTCCATTAATAACTAACAGCATGGCAGTCTCCTCCCATCACGCCTGATCTGCTCACACATTGCTCTGGCACCCCAGTCTGTGATTTCAGCTCATCTGATACTTGTAAACTGAGCTCTGCCTCTATGGACATCTACAATCTCCTAACTTTTACAGCAGTTCTTGTTCCTGCCCTATCACTGCCCCAGTGAAATGACATCAGACAGGCACAGGAATACCTACTTTTCCTTAGGATTCGGAAGTCAGCAGAGTCTATGATCTGGTCATATTCTCTGTACCAGTGAACCTGTAAGGTGGGTGTAGCACGGATGCGGCATTCAAACACCACTAACTGACCCTTCGTAGCTCTTATGTTTTGTAGACCCTGGAGGAGGAAGAAATGGTGTTAAATGGCTGATGGAAGTATTTCCCCATTGAAGGAATTATCATGGAATGATGCTCCCTTCAATAAAGATGATCAGCCAATGCCCATATTTTTATGTCACTTAGAGTAGCTGATTTGATTCTAAATGCATTTGTACTGGGTTGTGTATGGAGGGTTTTCTCCCCCGTAGATCTATGCTCATTAAAAAGCTTTAGCTTATTTATGCATTTAAATAATGATACAAAAGCAGGAAAAAACATCTATTCCAGTGGATACAGCATAGTCAGGGAGGTTACTATGAGAGGTTTCCACTCCAGCCTCCTTTGTAGGAGTAAATGAGATGAATTCATGTAAGTGGTTCTGTCTGTCTGGATCATTTACTAATTAAGATGTTAGTTTGATAGCATCGCTAATGAAGCGTCCTGACTCTTTTGAACTGTAAATGAACCAATGTTCCAACCTCACAATACCTTTGGATGGAGCAAACTCAAAGTGTAATGTTAGTAGTTGCAGAACAAACTATATTTGTGCTCTTTACCTTTGTGAACACAGGAGCGCTTCCATAGGCAGATCCGGTCAGGCTCGCTGAGGGACTCTGCATCTATATAGCAAAGAAAAGTAGCTTGAATTTCTCATATGCACAAACCCAGCTGTGTTGCTGGCACTTTACTTTGAAGCAGAAGAAGATGTCAGTGTGTTTTATCTATTGTTCATGTGCCAGCCTAATAAATACCATGTGGAGAGGCTCCATTCAAGTGCTCCAAGAGGAAATGCCTCCCTGGATGGTGAGCACCAAGTTAGCAGAAAGAAGAGCTGATAACCAGTAAATGCTGCTGATCTTGGAGCTATAAGCCAGTTAGTGGCCCATATCTTGTAGTCTCTATTTAAAAAGGAGTGCTGCTTGCCAGTAGTTGTCCTGTTGTACCGACAGCCCTAAGTGGTTTAGCTGATCTTAGCGACCTGACTACAGTGAGGCTGAATGTAGAGAAATGAGCAGAAACTTTGGTTCTCTGCCTGACATCCTCCTTTAAAGCTCAGCTAGCATACAGGTTACAACAAGGTCTCTATTTAAGCAAGAAAGGCAGTTTTAAGATGATCAAATACTTGCAGTCCAAGATATGTGCTTGTTCCATGGTGGAGCATTGATGTGCACTTGTTTAAGGGCAGGATGGAGGCAGACACTTTAGCAGGCTGATTATACTTGACCCAACAATGTTTGTACTTACTGTGGCATTCCTCCAGCCCTGCCAGGATGCTGGGACTTGCAAGGAGGCTTAGCCTTTGGATTTACGCTATGAACCTGGAGAGACAAACATAAATCAGTGTGTGTTTAGAGCTGCCTCCTTCCCTTACAATGCACCGATGGCTCTGGTTGTGAACTGAAAATGGGAGCATCCTTAGTATTTGAGATTAGGCTCAGGTCACTTCCAGAGGATGGAGGCATTTAATCAAGGTTGTTGATACGGATCCAAGTCACCTGTAAAACCTGGCTTCATGGCTGAGTTAGGGTTTTCTAGATTTGATTTAGATGGAAGAGTCTAAAGAGTCTAAAGAAAACCCTTGTTACTCCAGCTGAAGTGAAAACAAACCGCCTACCAGATCCTTCTCTATAGGGACTGTAGCATACTGGATTGACATAAAAAGAAGTGGTTACTGGTAGCTTGTTAGCTCACAGTGGCAATAACAGCTTTACAGATTTCATCTTTGCTTTCCTTTTACTATAACAAGAGAGGCTGCTCCTGCTTCTCCTGGGCTCAGCTGCGTCAGTAAAGCTGCTGCCTTGATGAATAGCTTGGAGCAGAGCAGCGGTGCTGCTGTCATATGCTCCGCTTTGGGAGTGAGCATTAAAAAGGTGGCTCTGGACTGAGAGACAGCAGCGTGTGTGAGGCATGGGAATGGTGCTTCTGTGCCTGCCTTGTGCTCTAGCTGCGGGGAAGGAGTTGAATGCTGTTTGTCAGCAAGGAGAAGGTGTGGAAGCAACTGAATTGACTTTCTGCTGCCTGTAGGATGTCAATATATGATGTCCCCTGGTGATCTGTTTGGTGTGATGCAATACTCCTGACTTGCTGGCTCGCTAAAGAGGGCCCTGGGATATGTGTTCCCCATCCGTTAATCCAGCCTTTCACCATCTCTCCCATCTTAGCACCTGTGGTGTCAGATTCAGAGCCTTATTCTACATTGACTGGTAGTTGATGCTGTCATGTTACTACCAAATCCTATGTTTATGTCTGTGGTCATGCAAACAGTACCTTAAGGTATTGGCAGATGGTTGCAAAGCTGTTGTTTGTTTAAGGATCAGTTGCTAAGGCCACTGTAACTGTCGCCTTGTGAGCTCCTGCCTGTTCAACCACGGCGGCAGCTCTGCTTTGTGCTTGCAGCCTGCTAAGTATTCGATGTGACTGGTGATGGCTTGGCAGGTCAGAAACCTCTCCTTAAGGCTGCACTTGTTTCTCTGCTCTAGGTCAGACCAACCTGAGTGTTTCTTCAGGGTGTGAATCTTACACTTGATGCTCCCAGTTCTGTATGGCATTGTTGGGTACTTATATTGGTAACACAATAGGTAGAGTAACTGCAAATTTGGGGTCATCCAGCTGACTGCCGCCCTATCTTGGAGTCCTATTTGTAGCTATACAGATAGATGCTTGGTGTAGCAATATGGAGGCACATCAACAGACTAGGATTTAGTTACCTCAAACAGGTCTGTAAGCTACAAAGATACCCATCTCATCAGATAACATCAGTGCCTGCATCTGAACCCTTCAGAGGCTTTGCATAGCTGTTTGGTCCTGTCCTGGGTTCAGCAGTAGCAGTCATGTTTTTCCTTTGTGTTAACTGGTGCAGTGCTGTGTTTTGACTTCTAGCTTGAGAACAGTGTTGGTGAAGCCGATGTTTTCGGTTGTTGCTAAGTGATGTTTACCCTGACCAAGGACTTTGTGAGGCTCATGCTCTGCCAGGGAGGAGGGGAAGCTGTGAGGAAGCAGAGACGGGGCGCCTGACCCGGGCTAGCCGGGGAGGTATTCCATACCACAGCACTTCATGGCCGGGGTGAGGGGTAACTGGGAGTTACCCGGAAGAACAGGGGCTTCCGGGTGGAACTCGCTTTCTTGGCCGGTGGTATCGTATTCTCTTCCCTTGTTATTTTCCCTTATCATTGTTTTAGCTGATAGTAGCGGTGGTGATTTGTTGCTGGACTGTTCTTGTCTCAACCCGTGGGAGTTGCACTCTCTCGATCCTCCTCCCCGTTCCTCCGGGAGCGGGGAAGGGGAGAGCCCCGGGGCGGGGGGAGACGGACACGGACCTCGATTGTTGTCAGCTCAGCACCACTCACTGGGAGTGAGTGAACAAGTTACCTGACTGGGTTTAAACCACGACAGGTCCAAATAATGCATTTGAGATCTGCTCTTTCCTGCTTTCTGTCGTTCTCACTGGTTGGATATGACTGCTGTAGCCACTTGACAACTGCAGGCAGGCACGTGAGACAATCACTGCTGTAAGGCAGTCAGACATTCCTGATGAGAGCACTGGGTGGCTCATCCAGACCTGCAGCAAGCTCCCCTGTTACACATGGACTTGGACCACCCGTGGCTTTCATACTGCTGCCTGCTGCTCTGGAGTTATAAGTGTCTCTCAGGCCGTCGAAGGATGGCTCGTGGCCAGGGTTATGTCATGGAGCCATCAACAGGGCTGTGCCGTAATGCAAGGACAGCTTGGATGTGGGAGGAGGGCCTGGGAAGCCAATGTTATTGAGTTGCCCTGGGTTCCTGCTGCAAACCAATCCTGGCTGTAGGCCACCACAGATCCCTGTGGCACTGATTCCATTGCCTCCTTGCAGCCATCAGGTACCGCTCAGCACAGGCAGTTTCCAGGACCTGTAAAATTACTTGATTTGATCTTTCTGGCTTTTACCCTAGTGAAAAAGCAGGTTGGGGAAGGGGTTCCTGCGCTGACATACCTGCTTTAAAGATCCTTCCACACAGCAGCAGCATTAACAAAACTGCATTGGAGCATCTATGGCCCCTTTTTGTCTGTACTACAGACTTAATTCTCCTATAGACATGCCCTCACTCTTGGCTGTTCCACTCTGTTTCCAAGTCCATGATTGGTCTGGAATCAGGCAAGGCACTCATAGAAACAGAAGGCACAGACTTAGCAAGAGCAAGTGGGGTGGTCGGAGTGGACAGGTTGTGGTTTAAGATCAAAGCACAGTGAAGCTTGCTCAGAAAGGCTGGGAGTGAGAAGAGAGAACCTGGAGAGATCTTGCTCCAGTGAACTGGATAAGAACAGCCTCTGACAAGTTTCCAGCCACAATAAAACAAGAAATGAATTTTAGCACTAAGCAGGAATAGGGTTAGCTTATGAATTTGTGCTCAGTACAGTTACTCAGTTGTGTGGCATTAGTTCCTCACTGCAGTGATTATTGCTAAGACCTGACATGGCAGAGTCCGTGGCCAAAGATGATGCCTGTCCAAGTTGCATGGGAAACTGGACTGATGCCATGTAGCATGCCAAGCAGTTGGTGTTCATGCAGTAAACACAGGCAGTTATATAGGTGATGCTGCAGCTGCCGGTGCTAGAGGAAAGCTTGGCTGGTCTCTTGCCAGTGCAGCTCCTACAAGTTCAATTGAGTGAAGACCCCATCATTGGGAAGTCTGTGCTTGGCTGCTGAAGCCATCCTTGAAACCCACATTGCTTGCAGCACCCTGGATTGTAGAAAACATCCTTCACATGCATGGTTTATGTTTGATGCTCTGTTCTCATCTGGTCCTTCCACTTCACAGTTTGCTTCTTGTGAATGTGTTGGATGCTTTCACTGCTGATATTGGATTTGGGTAAAGGAGAGTTCATGGGAATAGATAAAAGGGTTATAAGCTTCATCACCAGAACAGTCACTGGTTTAGTCTGAGTTTTCTGGTTTTTATTGAGACTTAACAACATTGGAGCTGAGGAAACGTAATAAACCAGGAGACTTTCAGGTGTGCTGAATGTGGTGCCTGGTGCCGCTTTAAAGGGCAGAGTGAATTTGAGAGAGTAAATGCACTGAGGGCATTTGGACACGGGCTGCAATGCTGACCAGCCCTGCTACTACTGACTGGTTACATCTGATTGAAGTCATGGGCTTCTGTGCCAGTGCAAAGCTGTCTTGTGTGTGAGGCTGTGTCTGTGGCTGTCCAACTCAGCAGTAAAAATGAGACAAGGTCACTCAGGTTCCAGGAAGACTCTGAAAGGTCGCTGGTTTCTCTCTGACACGTCTCCTTTTCTTTAGTGATGAGTGATGCTCCAGGCTTCTTCAACCATCTGTTTTCAGACTCCCGAGTCCTGCCGAGCTCCACGCATGACGTGCTCCTCTCTCTGGGTTTGCCTTGCTAAGCACAGAGCTTTCTACTACAGGTCAGCAGATCCTCTTCATATGAGAGTAGTGACTCACTCCAGCATGCCCAGAGAAGCTGTGGCTGCCCCATCCCTGGCAGTGTTCAAGGCCAGGTTGGACACAGGGCTTGGAGCAAGTTGCTCTAGTGGAAGGTGTCCCTGCCCATGGCAGGGGTTGGAACTGGATGGGCTTTCAGGTCCCTTCAACCCAGATCAGCCTGGGGTTCTATGAAATGTTGGCACTGCACAGTTTATGCCCTTGAAAGAACATGTAGCCAAGGTTTTACCTTGGTGAGTCATTTTAGCAGTCCTAGTGTCTCATGTAAATGTCAACCTTTACTTAGTGTAACTCTAGATCTTTGTGAAGGGGACAGAATTAGACTCAGCCAAATGAAGAGCCCAAGGACCTTTGCAACCCAACACCAGAATGATTACAAGGTACATACAGATCACGCTGTTGACACAGACCATAATGATGACATTCTAGCATTACCTGAATAGTTGACATGGCTGCAGAATTATGCTATAGGCAGCACTAGGCCAAATTTAACACAGGGTTAGGAAAGTATTAAAGCTGTGTGGAGTCCCTTTGCCAGGTGTTTAGATCATGGAAAAGCCATTAAATCTGTTTTAGGAACCAAATGAGCATCTGCTGGATCTCAAATACACTGCATTGTAAAGAGTGTGCTTAGGGTGGAGGAGAACATGCTAAAATTTACACTTGGAAGTGGGGCAGACTTAGACTGCATCATCATGTTCATGTACCAGCATTAGAAAGAGGCTCAAATAGATGTATGAACATAACTTTCAGTCAGTTGGAAAGCAATGCATTTTGCAAGCCATCTGCGTGTACCTGATGGTGTTACTCATTTTCATAGGGGTGTTCAAGCTTTGGGAGTGGATGCTAGACACTTGCATATCTTGTGCCACTACTCTGTGCAGCTTAACAGTGATCTGAGCGTAAGACTGCAAAGAATGAGGCTCTCCCAAAGGCAGTGGGCTCTGTCTCGAGCTCTATTTCTTCTATGCCATATGGCTAAAGGGGGAAATTATCACCACTTCAGCAGCAAGCTTTCTAGTTGTGAGTTCCTTGGTGATGGGAACGTGTGAGTTGAAAGTGGCTTCTGTTTGCTCCTGGGGTGTGAATAACAGGGTTTCTGTAGGAGGTGAGAAGAGTGTGATTTCATTTCTCTTCCCACACACCAAGGGTCCCGAGGTGACCGCTTGGATTGCAGGGAAAAGTGTGATGCTTTCCAACCGTGCAGTGATTTCCTCAAATGAGTGTTCTTTGAGAGGGGAAAAGGGCAGGTTTGCAGCAGCTGAGGCATAATAAAATACAGCAAACAAGCAAATAGCTGGAAGAGGTTATTGTAGCCATTGATAAGGCATTAATAGAAATGCGGAGTCCTGATTGGGTTTGAGGCTTGCCGACAGTCTTTTGTCTTGTATTTTCAGAACATGTAGCACTGAAATAAACTATTTCAAAGGCTCTTTTTCTATGGATTAGGTTTTTAATGCCTCCCATGGAGCAGGGAGGATATTGGGTTTGCATCTCAAGAATTGTGTATGACGCTCTTGGGGGTGTTTCCATACGTACTGTTCAGGAAGGCCAGAAAGGAGCGTTGGCTTTCCAAGGACAGGTTCCCTCTGGGATTAACAAAGACTCTGAAGCACAGAGAACAGCACGCTGCTGAAATGTGCATCCTGTGCTTCGTGCTTGAAAGTCTTTGTAAGCTTAAGATGAGTTCATGCATTGCACAGAGCAGAATGTGGCAAGGAAAAGAGCATCAGTGATCAGAGGGCTGGAGCAGCTCTGCTCTGGAGCCAGGCTGAGAGAGCTGGGCTGGGTCAGCCTGGAGAAGAGAAGGCTCCTGAAGGGGAGACCTTAGAGCAGCTCCAGTGCCTAAATGGGCTGCAGGAAAGCTGGAGAGGGGCTTTGGACAAGGGCCTGTAGGGACAGGCCAAGGGGAATGGCTTTAACCTGCCAGAGGGGAGACTGAGATGAGCTCTTAGGCAGAAGCTCTTCCCTGTGAGGGTGCTGAGGCGCTGGCACAGGGTGCCCAGAGAAGCTGTGGCTGCCCCATCCCTGGCAGTGCTCAAGGGCAGGTTGGACACAGGGGCTTGGAGCAACCTGCTCTAGTGGAAGGTGTCCCTGCCTGTGGCAGGGGTTGGAACTGGATGGGCTTTAAGCTTCCTTCCAACCCAAACCAGTCTGGGATTCTGTGATGAGAGTATGATGACGTTTGGGCAACAGTAGCTTTAATATAGGAAAAAGCACAATGGAAACTTAATCTTGGGATTATTTAAGGCATGTCCCTGATGAGATGTTGAGCATCTGCAAACACACCCTGTGTGTGCCTCTCATGGCCAGAAGGTCTGCAGGACTTTGGTGTCCATGGGCAGCATGAAGGGGTGCATGTACTCAGGGTGGTTTTGCTCATGGTACACATCCCTCTCCAAGTGCAGTGTGAGGAGATGGGGCTGCAGAGCCTCTCCCTTCAAATCACCTTTTGATTGCCTTGAAGGTCCCTGATCCAGCCCAGAGTCCCTCCTGGTGTGGCTCTGGGGCCGCCTAGTGGGGTCCTCTCCATGTGGGAGAGCAGGGCTGTCCATCCGATGGCTGGGGATGGCTCACAAGCAAGGGCTGAGAGGGAATGAATTTTATCCCTCCTCTTACATGCCTCTTTGGAGCACAGCTGTTTCTCAGGGCTGGAAAATCCTGGCTTTCCCTCCCCTTATTTGGATAACAGCTGAAGCGCCGACTGATACTTGAGTCAAACTGGAGTTCCTAGAACCAAGTGACCTAAATCCCTTTTTGAGCACCGACATTAAAAGACGCCTAGAGCTTATTTTAAGAGATGCTAAGCTTCCACTTAAAACCATGAGGCTCCATACTTGTTAAAGTGGGTAGATTCATGTCAAACAGGGATCGTTTGCTTCCTTCCCTATAAAAAACCCCAACCCTACCCCACTTCTTTGCATGCCAGAGCATTACAGGAACGTGGAAGGATTTTGAGCCCAGACTGCCTGACCCGTGAAGACTGTGCAGGGAGTGCAATGTGTGATGGCCCTGGTGCCATGGAAGTAGAGTACGTGCAGATGTGAGTAAAGGCAGTAGTATATGTGGGCATCCTAAGGCACCTGCCTGCTTTCTGCTGCTCATGCTCTGCGTGCCTTTGGTGTTCCCATTGCACATCCCAGGGGCTGTGTTTGGTGGAGGCTGAGTGTCCTTTGGGTGGATCCTGAGGACAAGTGCTTAGTGCTATGGAAAGAACCTGGGAATGGCTATTTCTGCACTTAGGACGCTGTGTAGTGTCAAAGCTAGACAAAGTTATTTCCTGTAAGCTCTGGGGAAACAGCTACAGGCTCTGGATTACTACTTGCTGAGGACTCTGTGTTGTCAGTGCTTGCATGGAGAGCTGGTGCACTGGGGCAGTGTGGAGCTGCTCAGGTTTAGTACAAAGCTGTGTGTCGTGTGCCTGATTAGTTCCCCTCCTGTCTGCATGAGCCCAGCTGAGGATGAGGAGGGGAGGAATCAACTTCCTGCTCTCCCTTTCACTGCAGACTGCTGGAGGATGCTATCCCCATTCCTCCATGGATACCTGCAGTGAATAATGAAACAGCATCACCCTTAATACATAAGTACAACCCATGTTTTTCCCTTTAAAGTAGAGAGTATCCCAGCTCTCCAGCCAGCAGGTATGTTAACCTCTCCACCATTGAATACAGCAATGACTCTCCAGTGAGTCACAAAGAGGATTAGGTTAATGGAGCCAGTCTAGCCAGCTCCATCCTTCATACTGGCACACCTTCCCAGGAGGTGGATATGTCACTCCCCCCTTGGGAGAAGGCTGGAATTGTGTGGTCAGTGTGTGTGTGTGACTCACGGCTTTGCTATCCATGCTCCAGTGATGACTTGCTGCTTCTGCAGTCCGTGGCTGTACTGTTCCATTGGCGCTTCCTGCAGAACACAGCGTGTTCTGAGCTCTGCTGTCCCCAGCCCAGACCTGTCACTTGTGTCCCCCCTTCTTTGTGAAGCGTCGCACGGGATGACTTTACTATACCAGGTGTCCCCAGAATGGACAAAGAGCCTTTTGTGTCTCAGAGCCTCCTGCTTTGACTTAGCTGATTTAAATTGTTTTGAATAGGAATAAAGTATATCCTCAGGTGGGAGCACGTTCCAATGGGATATCTGCAGGCTGATAGCAGTACGAAGGAATCTGCATAGTCTTTTTCTCTGAACTGCTACACAAAGCAGCATGTGCTATAACTTCTGTCATCTCCTGTCTCACAGGTGTGTTTTGGGTGGTTATCCCACAGCGTGTCCTGACTGGTGGTCTGATGCTTCTGCCTTATAAACCTGTTGTCACCAAAGCTGGAGGATCCAGAGATGAATCAAAGCTCCTGAGCCTGCTTATCCTCTCTTCCCACTGCTCGTGAGGCCGCCGTGCTGCCCGTGCTCTTGTGCAATGAGAGGGCTGCAGTGACAATGGAGGTGAGTGACCGAGTTTCATGCACCGTGTCTGATCTCTAGTGCCATAAGTGCTGCTTCCAGCCTGTGCCCCAGGCAGGGAGCCCGTGCATGGAACACCAGCACTCAATCCTCCAGGCTACCCACAGCTGCACTTCATCACCTCACATCTGTGTTTGCAGTGATTTCTGCCCTAAAAACCTTCTCTGTGTTCAGCTCCACCAGCACTGTTCACGCTGAGCACATGTCTATAGGGAATCACGGCTGGGGGCTCTGCCCCGGCTCCAGTGTGCCAGGCCACCAGCAAAGGCAATGCCAGTGCTTCCAGAGTGGGGCTGAGTCAGTGGGTGAGCAGTGCTGGTGGAGCTGAACACAGAGAGTTCAAATCCAATGTGAGGATCTGACCAGAGGCACCTTCCTGGAGGTGCCACAGCAGCACTAAGGGGTTTGTGGCGGGCACATGAACCTATGCGGGCAGCCACTGCTCGCCATCTGCACCACAGCCTGCAGTGCCGTGGGGTGGGCTGGCCTGGGGGTCTCATCCCATTGCTTGTGCTGCAGTATCGCCAAGAAACCCAAAACAGGGACCTACCTGTTGCACTGTAAACCATGGCATAAAAGCTGTTCCAGCCTCAGAACTTTTACACAGAGCATAAATCGTGCACGGAAAGTGCAAATAACCAGAATATCGCTGAACACTCTAGTTTAGAGGCATGTTTGTAGAACTAAGGTGTGGATTATGAAGCAGTTAAAAGTGCCAATTCCCAAACCCATCGTTATTCAAGTTGCCTGAATTAAGCCATTGCTGTACAGTCCAAAGAAGCTTTTTTTCTGGAGAAATAATTTTACAACCCCCAAGCCATTTCATAGAAACCTGAGCTGGCACAAAGCGTTGCATACTGTTAAATATCTTGCATGGATGTTCCTTGAATGAAAACCAAAAGTGCTCCTGGTCTAATGGTTTTCTGTCTGTAGGAAGCATCGACACTGGAGTGTTTAAGCTCTCACAAACACCTCGTATGACAGTGGATGTGCCATACCCCATGCCCAAGGAGGACAAAAGGTGAGTTTCAATCAATGGCTGTGGCATTCGGGTTCCACAGGGTACCGTGGGCCTGGGTTGTGCCGAGCAGTGAACTCCTCATCCCTGGGGAGCCCACATAGGAGGATGGGGGCTGCACAGCCAGACCCCCCCAGGAGATGAGACCAGGCTAATTTTAACTACATGGACAGCATTTGATATGGAAGCAGCTGGTGTCATACAAATCCACAGACCTGTCAGGCAGCACAGGGCATCGCTAAAGCAAGGATGTTCATTTCCACCCAAAAGCAACCTAGAAAGCCAGCCTTGATTTAGTCTGCACCTGACCCAATATTGATCAGAGCTCTAGCTCTGTAACCATAGATGTGCAGCACCCAAACCCTTAGATTTTAATGCCATTTCATCAGAAAAGTGAGGCAGGACTCATTTTTCTAGCCCCATGTTGCATTTCATGCTAGTACATACCTGCTCCTGTTTCCAGCTGGTGGAGAGGTTTTCTGATCATACTCTCTTTGTTCCCCTCTTGTGACAAGGTTTTCTACAGTTAAAAGTTTATCTAATGAAAGCCAGCACCATACCCTCCACTCTGCACAGTTCCCAGTGCTATGGAAAGACTCTCACTGAGAAGATGCATTATATTCTCTGGTTCTGTAGCATCTCTATTCCTTCTCTTTTGTTTTTAACCTGCCTGTGAGCCATGTTTAGGAGGTGGCTGTGGAGCCCAGCTGATGGACACCTGAGCCCCCATTCAGCTGAGTGTCTTGTGGACCACTTGCCTCTTCTCTCAGCCCAAGGTACTAAATGAAGTATTGGTGGGTTGGCTGCTTGCAAAGTGCCTTGTTAATAAAGCTGGATGTTAAAGGGGGCAAAGCTCATGGCTTCACCCCATGTACACGTGCTGTAGAGCCGGATGCACTCTGGTTGGCAGTGGAGTCTCTTGCTTTGGAAACCACAGGTCCTGGGTTTCCTTGGTGTGAGGGCAGGAGATGCTCATACAGGCAGGAGGACTGAGCTTTGGGGTAAGAGCTCCTGGTTTGCTGGGATGCTCAACTGGCCACCCTTGTGAGCCCACGGGTAAGAGCAGGGCACAGTGTGCCAGAAAGGGGAACGCTGCTCTCTGAAATCAAAAATCACATCCCTGCCTCTCCTCCCCACCCCTGCAAAGCTCTCAAGTAACGAGAGAACACGATTATTGTTAGAAATTAAAGTGTTACTCACCTCTCTAGGCCATCAGTTTGGGTCTGGGGCTCTTGCTGCCAGCGTTGAGTCTTGAAGTGGGAAGTCTCTGCACCAACTCCCCTCTGAGGACTGAGGCTGTCTGGGGTGGTGGGTTACACGTCTAATGTTCACATCCCTGCTTGTGAGTGATGGCATGGCGGGAATGTCAGCTGGATGGGAATAAACTGCAGCAATTTATGCTCCCCAGCCTGGTTGGAAGTCAGCAGAGCAGCACCATTAGCTGGAACAAACCAGCTCTACTGTGGTGAGATGCAACAGCGGCCAGATCCAGACTTCCTCATAATTTATCAGTCCTGAGTGATGGAAAGATGCCAGCTCAGGTTGATTGTGATTCTCTGCTTTGAAAGAGAAGTGCAGTGAAACTTCATTAGAAGCAGGACTCTCATACAGATCTGGAATGTAAAGAATTTCCTATTCACTTGGAATATAAAGAAAACCTGAGCCTCTCCCCTCTCCCCAGATGCTGAGGAATGCAGGGGGATAGCTTGGGTTTGGTGTAGCCAGACCTGAACAGTTTCACATTAGCATTCTCCAGGCTTGGTAGGAGAGCTGTGTAAAGCTTATGGGAGCTGAAGTAATGTCCTGATGATGCCAGAAGCACAGTGCCATTGCGTGCTGAGGTTTCAAGCAAGGTGCTTTATGCAGTGAGGTGCCATATAGGAGAAGGAGCTGAGGGCATTGCTGAAGGGCAGGTTGTGTCTGTGCCCAGTGCCAGTGCAGTGTGCTGTCCTGGGAATTCCAGGGCTCCAAATCACAGTTAACAGCTCATTTGGAGGAATTGCTTTGTGTAGATGCATGAAGGACAGGAGAGATCCCCAAGCAAAGCTGCCCATTGCTCTCAAAGCATCTATAAATCAGTTGGATCTTGCCTTCTACCACAGCAGCGCAGTCCCAAGGCTGAAGGGGTGTTAGCCCATTCAGTCTGGGCATTGTCAGCCTTCACCAGCTTTGTGACCATGAAAATAACCTTGGTGCTTTGCAAAGCCTTGCCCAGCAGTCTAAGGTACACTGAATTGATCACCTTCTGTGGGGTTCTGGAGCTCTTCCCCAGATTCCCAGTTGGGAAATACAGCTTACAGCTGGGTTCCAGTTACCTGCCTGCTTTGTTTGTGCTGAGTGCCAAAAGCTGTGTGGAAAGGTATCAACCACTTCTGGCTAAAGCATCTCTCCTGGCACTGTTAGTAATGGTTGTGTCATCTTTTTGTGTGCCTGCACATTGCATCGAGGCCATCTGGGCCTGAGGATGGGTGGATCCTGCCCTCCAGCAGGGGCTGTGGTGTAGGGATGCTCTGGGAGCTGCCCCTGCTTCCTTTGGCTATCTTTTCCCTCCCTGGTTCTCATCTGTGCTTGAAGACCTGTGAGGGGTCTTGAACTCCAGGAGTGCTGCTCTCCCCCTCCTGTGGATAAGGAACTCTGCCACAAGCCCGTGGGATTCACTCGGATCCTCTGGCTGCTCAATCCAGCCCCATCAATTGCAGCTATTGCTCTTCTCTTGATGGCGTAATGCACAGATGAACTTTTGATGCTGGCTCGAATGCAGGCTGGTGGGAAGAGACCGGCTTATTCCAGCCATCCTAAACCCTTCCCAAAATGGGAAAGCAGCTGGCGCAAAGGCCACAAGTGCTGGGGCCCTTCTTCCTGAAGTGCCTTGTCAGGGGCCTCTGAAGTGACATTTCAATTTATACCGCATCAAACTCGGGGACAGATGAGCAGTGGTTTGGTCTTTCTTTTTTCCAAAGGGATTTCTGAATGGAGGAGCGTAGGTAACAAATGGTCTGGGTGTGAAAATGAATGGACCTGCCTTCAAACTACGTGTCTTCTCTGGCAAGTTGCTGTCTAGGGTAGTTTTGACAGTGAGAGTTAATTCTTATGGTGGATTCATTGTTCAGGAAGAAACTTCTCACTTCTGGAAGGAAATCCAGCACACATTCCCACTCCTGTGTGAAGAAGCTGAGTTCATGTCACAGGGAGCTTGGAATAAGGAGGGAGCTTGGCAGTGCTATGGATTTGGGGAGAGAGAGCAGGTCCAGGTACCTGGCAGGCCTTTCCCAAAGGTCTTTCCCAAAGAGTGGTTTAGCTCTGGTTGTCAGAGGCTGGCTGAGGATAAGATGCTGAAAGAGAGGACACTGAGCAGACAGGCGGGCAAGGATGGTTCTCTGCATCTGCATGTACCCATTGCTGGTAATAGTGCTCTTCCTCTGGGAGATCCTCAGTGCAGTGCAATGGGCACGATTGCAAGCAAATAGCAATCACCTGCCAACAGAAGCAAGGCCTGGGGAGGTTTAAATCACGCGGAGGTGCCATTGCCAGAAGGTGTCGGAGCTTGCCTGTGGTCCAGAGGCAGGGGAGCGTGCGCAGGGAGGCTCCCCGAGCCCTTCCTATCTTCTCCCCACTGAGGTCTCCAGGTGGGTGGTAAACACGGAGGGGCTCAGCCAAGTGTGGCTGATTGCACTCCCTCAAACCTGTCTGAAACCGGCCTCACTGGTAGGCTCAGCCAGGTCTGAGTGACTGAACTGAACCAAGGCTCTCTGAGAGCAGCGACTGTTGGGCTGCCTCCACCTTTGACAGTGCACTGCTCCAGCCCCACACTTGGCTTGGGATGGTTCCTCTGGCTTCAGAGGAGCAATGCAGAGTTACGGGAGGGCTGCGTTTGGACCAAAGGACACATTTAACCTCTCTCCTGCTGTTACTGGTTTTTCTGCTAAAGAGATGATGTTCTCACTGAGCCAGATGCTTATCGTGAGTATCTTGGTGTAAATCCATATTATCTCAATGATGTTAGGCAAGTACTCGTCTAAATTACGCTGGCACATCTCTGTAGACTTCAAGGAGATTGAGCAAGTGTGGTGGAAAAGGTTTACGGATGGGCTTGAGTAACGTGGAACCGTGTTATTGAGTAACCAAAGTGGCATTGCTGGCACAGGTCCTCAATCATCTGCCAGTGTTAAGCTCTGAAAGTGGCTTAGCAGAGGTGCCTGCTTGCTCTCCGCACACTGAATCCCCAGAGCAGTGTGTGCGTGGGGAGACTGACTACCCTCAAATTAAATATCACTGACAGCCTTGCAATAGAGACGTTCCTATGCGATGCCTCGAGGCACCCGCTTATTGGATGATCTTACAGCTATGTGTTTGGGCAGCATTCCCTTGGGTTTAACTACAGACATTTTGACATATCTAATATATTTTCCACTGTAACTCAAACCTCTGCTGGTCTGGGCTATACAGGCTTTTATCTATAGGCAATCTGAGGAGTGGTGAGCATGGCTGGATGTGTGCCAGTCCTGGGTAGGACACTTACCCGATATGTATAGAGATAGTGCACTGATGTGCCCCCAGTTGGGTCCTAATAAGCCTCTGTAGGATGCATTATGATGCAGCTCCACAAAGCATGTCAGAATTGTATGTGAGTGTTCCCCATTGCTGGGGGTCTGGGTTTTATCCAGCTAGAGCTGTTTTCAGAAAGGGATGTTTTATCCTGGCCTTTCTCTAAGCACCCTAGAGCAGAAAAGGTTGCATTCATTGTGATTTTCCTTCCCTTTCCCATCACGACAGTGGTTTTAGAATTGGCTTTTCCCTTTGATGCTCAGGAGACAGAGCCAATTTACTGGGGTAGAAAAGATGTCTTAAAGCAGAGGCTCTGACCCTGCCAGAGCCGGTCAGAACAAATGCAGTGTGTGGATCGCCTGCACTCCTCTCACACCGCCCAGGCGTGCTGTTTATAGCTCCCTCTGCATGCTCCAAATGCCACCCCAACAGCTGCAGCTCCCCATGGCCACACAAGCACCTCTGGCCCTCAATGCGCAGGTTTCAATGCCCGTAAGCAAGGACACTTCAAAAGTGCACTGTCTGTGCTCTGCCATTAATACTCTACCTGCCTTCTCTGCGTGGCACAGCACCTTTTGTCAGTGGTTAGTGGGTAGGGAGAGGCACAGTATCTGGTGTGAAACCTGTGGAGAGCAGGCTTAAGTGCTAAAGGCAGGGCACAGTTGTCAGTATAAATAGAACCATAGAATCATGGAATAGTTAGGGCTGGAAAGGACCTTGAGATCATCAATTTCCAACCCCCCTGCCGTGGGCAGGGACACCTCACACTAAACCATCTCACCCAAGCCTTCGTCCAACCTGGCTTTGAACACTGCCAGGGATGGGGCATTCACAACCTCCCTGGGCAACCCATTCCAGTGCCTCACCACCCTCACAGGAAAGAATTTCCTCCTTAGATCCAATCTAAACTTCCCCTGTTTAAGTTTGAACCCATTACCCCTTGTCCTGTCACTACAGTCCCTAATGAAGAGTCCCTCCCCAGCATCCCTATAGGCCCCCTTCAGATACTGGAAGCTGCTCTGAGGTCTCCACGCAGCCTTTTCTTCTCCAGGCTGAAGAGCCCCAACTTTCTCAGCCTGTCTTCATACAGGAGGTGCTCCAGTCCCTGATCCTCCTCGTGGCCTCCTCTGGACTTGTTCTAACAGTTCCATGTCCTTTTTATGTTGAGGACACCAGAACTGCACACAATGCTCCAGGTGAGGTCTCACGAGAGCAGAGTAGAGGGGCAGGATCACCTCCTTAAATAACCCTCTGGAAGGACAGTGGAACGATTCTCATACAAAGCAGCTGAACTGAGTCCCAGCAAATTAACACCCTCCTTTGTCAAACTCAAACCAGTACCCTGGGAGCTGCCATCTCTGTATCAGGTCTGGATGCGAACTGAGCAGTGGTTGTGTTGCAGTCCCGCAGGTCATGGGGCTGCAGTGGTGTCACCCTTAGCAGGCAGGGGGCAGCTCCTCTGTCCCCATGCTGGGTAGAGATATCCCAGCACTTCCCTAGGGATTTGTCACCTCCTGCCCCACTGAAGGGGTCCTGCAAGCAGAGAAAATGGCTCTGCTTTAGGAGGAGGAGGAGGAGTGTGGTGGAGGAAGGCTTCAGGGAGGTGACTCCCAGCAGTGTCAGGGATGAGGATTTGTGAGCCTCTGTCAGTGCCGTCAATGAGGAATGAGAGCAGACTGGGTTTCTGTCTGGGTTTTCTGTATGGATCCTTGTTCTGTGTCCCCAATAGCAGGAAAAGTGCTTGGAGTGTTCTGTGGCCTGCTGGCTTTATGAGCTCCAGGAGCCGTGCTCGAGGAGCTAAAACTAAGCTAAACTAAGAGTAATTTCACCCTAAAGTAAGCACTTCTCTGTTCTTGCCCCGCTCGTTGTTTCTGGAGGGGTGTTGTGCCTCATTTCATGCAGCATTAACGTCTGTGTCAGCAAGGATTTCCTTGTGATACTTCCCATGCAAATAAATCTTGCCTAAAGCCCCATTTATCCCTGAACGGCCACAGGAGACCCTCGGGCATCCCAAGGGTTTTCTTTTACTCCGGATATTCATTTCTCAAGCCATTCTCTCTTGCAGGCTGTTGGCTTGCCTGGGCTCGCCAGTACCCAGCAGACGGCAGATGGCACCAGCGCCCTGTGTCTGCTCGGGCGAGCCACCGCTCGCTTCAGAGCATCCTTCAGCTGAGCAGGTGAGGCATCACTGAGCGTTGAGGCTGCACAGTTACAGCTGCTAGCTCCGAGTCCTGCGGTAATTCTCCTTCTTGGGCGCCTTCCCGCAGTGGTTTGTAGCCAAGCAACCTAAAAGGGATGATGCCTGCTCTGTGGCTGAGGGATGGGACAGAGCTCCTTGTCACCCAGGTGAGCACCAACCACCCATCCTCAAGGCTGAGACAGGAGGAAGCTTGGTGGAGTCATGGGAAGGGATGAGCTGCTTGCTCACACCATGTGTCTGTGTGTGACAGCAGTCGTTGGGAATTGTAGCTTCTATTTTGACCTGGCCTCCCGTGTGACTTGGTTTTGTGGCTGTGTTCTCAGCCTTTACATCATCACAAACCCCTTATTCTCTAACACCGTATTATAACATTGCTTCTTAATTCCTTGTATGGCTTGGAGGTGGTAGGAGCATAGAAGCAGCTTGTCAGGCTTTGGATGTCACAGGGTAAGCTGTGATTACATAAACAAGCAGAAGAAACTGTAGTTAAAGGCCTCACAAAGTTATAATTGCCATGGCTTGCCTTTAGTTTTATGGCAACTCAAACCGTATCGATGGTTCCTTGTGTCCATCCTATGTTTTAAGAGGATTCCTATCCCTGCTTATTGCCTCTGTGTAAATGAGCATCAAACTGCTGCCCGGAGTCCGTTAGTTTGATTTGCATTATGTTGTCCATGTGCTATAGAAAATAATAACCATGCACAAAAAAAAATCACTTTGGTTCAAAATGTGCTGCCATCCATTTATTAAGTTTCATGGGTAAAATTGAAATGGGCAAAGTCAAACCAAGCAGAACCATTGGGCTCTTGTAGAGGTTTCTCATTTTGCAAAGACGTGAGCTGTGGTTGAAAGATTCCCTTTGTGTGAGTGCCACGAGCAAGCACTGTGGCTGTTTTTAGAGAGGATATTTCCTTCCAGTCATTCCTTTGATAAGGCTTTATTCCAACAGGATTTGATATGATGTTAGGTTTAGCTGCAGGTACCAACATGCATCCTACTGTCACAATGCAACAGGATCTTGTACTGGGTCTGTTGAAGGCGAGGGCCAAATCTCTCATTGATTTAACCATGCATCACGTGCATCCTGAGCTATGTAAGTACCTGAGATGTGGCTTCTGCCTGGTGATAGGCATGGCTTGTCCTCCATGTGCTCTGGGCACTGTCCTGGCTCTGAGGGGCAGCTCTGCCCTGGGCACACCAGGGAATGAGAGTGTTTGCAGCAAGGAAGATTGATCTTGAGAGGGGTTGGAATACCCAAGTCCATTCGAGCTTCCTGGGAAATACCAGCTTGGATTCATGCTGGCATACTTGGGAAGTGTTTTAAAACCAAGCACCAAAAATCAATGCATTGCAAGGCTCCCAGCTTGTCATTCTGAACCCATTAGGAGATTTGTGCTAATTCTGAAATTAATCTTTCTATTTTAAATGTTACTTTGAATGTAGTTTGAACTTGTCTATCTGGCAGGAGGGGAACAATTAAAGGAAAGGGAAGATTACATTGTGTTGCTTTAATTGTGATGGATGGAATCATTTGCTGAAGGAAAATATCTGCAAAGCAGATTTGAGTGCAGAAGCAAAGATGAAAATGGGTTTTAGCTATTCCACTCCCTGTGGTAGATGTATATTTATGTAATGCACTCCTCGTATCTCAATAACACACTGGGCCCACACTGCAGGAATTAACGCCACTGAGAACCGCAGCGAGGTTATCTCTGAGCCTGTGTAAGTGTGAGAAATCAACCTTTAGTTTCAGGTCCTGTATTTATTCATTTATACTTGTAAAGATGCTTGAGGGAGAGGAGGAACGTCCCTGACTGGATGCACTGCACCAATGTCTAGCGTAATTCAGGATACAGGAAGCTGTCACTTGGCTATTGCCAGTGCGTGTTCCACTGTCGGTGCCATGGGGCAGAAAGTGCAGGGTTTTGTGGCAGCCCTGTATTAGGCAGTGGATTTCTCTTCAGGAGAGCAGCTCTTAGGAAGCAGCTTTAGGTGGTTTTCCAGCTGCTCTGCACTGGGGCAAAACGCCTCTTGGGAGGGAAATTTTGGCCTAAAAGCTGCCTGTGCAGGCAGTTTGGAGAGAAAACCCAAACCAGGCAGTGAGGCTGGACATAATTCACTGATCACTGAGACCAGCTCATCCTGGAGGCCTGGGAAGATGATCCAGGAGCCCCAGATCTTGAACAGGGACAAACCCACGTAGTCCTATTCTGCTCTGGTCCCCTGCTCTGATCACTGCACAGGACTGGATGTAAAGCAGTGCAATGAATAGGCTGGGTTTGCAGGTACAGCATGGAATGTCTTGCTGAAGAATAGTTCATATGGATCTGTGGGATGCATACAGTGCTTTAATCCGTGCTTCTCCCGTCCCCAGCTGTTAACTATAATTGTTAACTGCAGGTTTGGTAACAGAGTCCTGCACAACTGCACTAATTGTGAATGGTGGCATTTCTTTAGAGGAAACATCCCTGTGTTTGAGGAGCACTGTGAGGCTCCAGTCCTCAGTGTAAGTGAATGTCCTGTGGTGCTCTGTAATGAGAGCACAGTGGGTGTAAGTGGGAGGGTTATAACAACTTGCGTCCTCTGCCTTCCCAGGGCATTAATGCTGCATCTTGGAAGCTGTAAGAGATTGAAGGAATAGAATCTAAACTTGCCATAGACTCTGAGTTAAGCAGGGTTGCTTTGGTGAGGATGAAATAGAAGCATCAGCTCCCTTTCTCCTCTCCCTTCAGCTGCTGGGAACTGAGGTATTCACAGTCTAAACGTATTCCCATCTCCCTCCAGTGTGAGTTAGGGACATTGGAATTCCCTTTGGACCCTGTGAACACCTTTGCTGCACCGTGGGCAGGGTCCTGCTGGCCCAGTGTCCATCCGGGGCTTCCCCATCCAAGCCACATCTAACGGCGTGTCAGGACCAGTGTTTGAGTGCAGAGGTGCCAGCAGGGCAGGGAGGGTGAGAGGGGCTGTGCTGTGTGAAGGAGGAGCTGTGGAGCATGCAGGATGCCTCCTCCCGCAGTGAGAGCCCAGCCAGTCCTGCTTTGCACCTTCCGCTCAGTGACACGACGTGTGGTGCGAGGCTCTCACACCCTCGCTGCCCAGTGTAGCTGCTTCGTGACTGCTGTGTTCAGCTGCACACGTGCATTTCCCACCTGCTCTGATGTGGTGACTTGCTGCCATCCAAGGGGTTTTGGTGTTTGGGAATGGCGTGGAAACTCGTGTTTGGGGGAAGGAAAATCCCTGTTGTTGTAGGCAGCAAAGCTCACCCAGCCTGTTCTTTTGGATATGGCTGGTAAAGAGGAGCACATGGGGAGAGAAGATATCTTCCGCCAACAGCGTATGTTGGGTCAGGGTGGTGAGAGTGTGCTGCTTGCAGGAACAAAGAAGTTTTCCCCATCTATTCCATAGCTCAGAAAGGTGTTGAGTCACTGGTGAACCTTGTGTGACTTCTGCCTTCAGAGAATCAGACAAGCCGTGGCAGACAAGTGATGACTTTATTAAAGCTGCCCTTTTTGGAGCGTTAAACTAATATCTAGTCAGTGATCTATACACCAGGGTCTCTGGCTGTAATTTCTGTGGCTTGGCTTTAACTGGAGGTGTGCTGAGTGAGTGCAGCAGTGCAAATCCCAGCAGTGCCATCACCTGCAAGTTCTTGGTACCTCGAGGGACCAGCAGGTACAGACAGAAGCACAGCAAACATGTATGTTGTCTGATGTTTTATTGCTAGCTCCCTTCAGGACATATCATCTGTCTCTAAGCTATTTCAATTCCTATTTCAGCCCATAGGTTGCTGGCAGCTGCTTTGCTCTGTCACTAGAGCTTCTATCTCAATCATGGGGGTGACAGTGGTAAATGCTGCTGGAGATGGTGCATGGTTTGTGCGAAGCTGAACGACATTTTGTCCAGAAAGTGATGTTTTGTTGTGAAAGCATCATATGTGCAAAGGTACTGCAGCAGCTTGTGCCTTTAATCAAAGCTGCGTATGGAACCTATGGAGCAATTGGGTCTATGGAAACAAAGCTGCAATACAAGGGTTTAAATCTGAGTGCTGTGGTGACAAAGCCGTTAGTATTTGAGTGTGTTACCAATGTGTATCGGCTGTGAACTGTCCTTCTCTGCTCCTTTCTTGGTTGATGAAAGTAGATGTTGGATCAAAGTGGCAAGGTTTGCGGTGTGCAGATGTGTGCTTGCACCTCTCGTCAGTTGAAACCCAACCTGCAGAGGGTCACTTGTTAGGAGCAGCTGATCAGCGGCTCTCTCTGCTTTCCCCTTTCAATAAAACCCCTGGGTCGAACAGCAGAAGCACTATCGTTAAGGGGCACGTTTTTCCCTTTCCCTTGTGTTACCAGTGGGTAGCCTGGCATCAAGAGGACCCAAATGCCTCTGCACCATTTGTGTGAGCCCAGGCTTCACCTGTGCACAAGGGAGATGGGGATGTTCTTCCTTTGCCAGTTAGCAAGTGGTACCTCAAAGGTAAAACAAGAGCCACAGTAGACCTTGATTCTAGGTTTCTCTGTGCATCTTTCTCGATGGCCCCCAAGTTAGATGATGATGATGATGATGATGACGATGATGCAAAGATCTTCTGACCTAGCAAAAGATAACTCAAAGGTTAATACTCTCTGCTCCTGGAGAGTAATGGCTTCAATGTAAAGGAGTGGTTCTGAAGAGATGCATTAAAATCACAAAGACTCCTGCTCCTCTTACATGACTTCCTTGTTCAAAGGTGTATAATGCAATTTGACCAGCAAGACAAAGGGTAAAAAAGGGGCCTCAGGGAACAAAGCTGAGGGCTTTGGGTGTTTTCTGACTGATGCTTTAGATGAGGAAGAGTGGTACCTGGTGTTCCACTGTGCCCAGAGGGGTGGCACAGGACTGGGCAGTCCTCAGGAGGTCTGTTTGGGCTGCAGAACTGGCTCCTTGTACTGATGGTGGATGTCTGGTCAATGGTGGAATGAGGCTTTCAAGCAGTGAAAGACTCATTTCATTGCCTAGAGTATAAGTTTGCTTTCTTTCCAGCTGGATAAAGAACGTCAGAGTCAAAGCACGTTCAGATCCAGGTACACAGGTTTGCAAGAGGAAAGCAATGTGGGGAAAACTAGGTGTAAGGAATTGGGTAAGGAAGAGCAAAGTGTGTGAACCTGAGTTAGGAAGGGACTAACAGGGGTCATCTGAAGGGAGCACAGCACAATGCTGGTTTAACTACTAGCAGGAGAAGTCCATGGTGTGGGTCAAAGCCTTATTTCTAAATCTGTCCCTTCCAGTTCCAGCATTGAAGCCAGGCATAGCAGGAGCCCCAGATGGCGAGCACAAGGCAGGGCTGGGAATGGGGGCCAGGCTGTGTGCTCTGTACAGGAGAGAGATCTCATTTCAATGCTGAGCATCAGTTCAACACCTTCAGCTTGTAGAGCAAACGTGGTCTTAATCTGATTGTGTTAGCGGTGGCATGTGAGCACTGCCTGCCTCAGGGACCAGTGTGATTGCTCTAAAGGTATGACACAAAAGTCACTATAAAAGGTTGACGCGTATTTCTGGGGATAAGGTTTGACAAGCATCCTCCAGACAGATTTAATACAAATGTAGATGGCAATGATTCGCAGGATCTCTGGATTCCAATCATCAGAGGCAGTTCTGCTGGTCTCTATTTCTATATCTGTACCATGTACTGAAACATTAACTCCCAAATCCATCAGGACCCAACAGATGGAGTGGGTAGGAAGCTCATTTCCATGGATTTCAGCCCTGGCTGGGTCTGTGGGGTGAAAAAAGAAAGATATTGAATTACTTGTTGCCTTGCACATCTGCCCAGGTGTGTGAGGCTCCTGCTTTGTCACAGCTCCGCACCCCGTCTCCACATCAGCCACCTTCCTGCTGGTGGCCAAAGTGGCTTCCAATGGGGGATTTTGATTTTGGCTCCTGGTTTGCCAGAAACATGAACAGGGAAAAGGCAGAGATAAAAAACCAACCTCCAGTGTGAGGAGATGCTGAGCTGGAGCCAACACCAAGCTTCCCATCGGGATCAGCAGTGCTAAGTGCTACGTGATGGCAGGAACACAGGCACTGCTGCCTGTGCACTCCCTCACAGCTCCTCCAGGGCCACATCTCCCAGGAGCAGTGTCTGGTGCAGATTTAATTGGGTAAATTTGTGGTTATACTTTGGGAAAAGCACTTTATCTCACTGAGCACAGGATGATCTCAAGGGCCCCTTCCCATCCTTGGTGATTCAGTCGTTCTCTATGGTTTAAAGCCTTCTTAATTATTAAACTACCAGCTGATTTTTGAGCTGTTCCAAGGAAACAAGCAGCTGCTATTGTTCCTTAGCAGCAGATGCACTGTAACTCTTGATTATATTAATTTAACTGTTCATAATTTGGTTCTGTTCATTATTTGGTGTTGCTATTCTCAAATGCTTTTCGTACAGCTGCTGCAGATCCCTCCATGCAAACACATACTGGAAGTGTTTAATTCCACAAAGCCTTTTAACTCAATGGGAGTAGGACTCTTTGTACACTGGGTATTTGCCTTTTGGAAAGAGGTGAGGACTCAAAGCTGCCTAAGCAAAAGCTGATGAACTCTGTAGATTGATGAGTCGGCAAAGGAAATGGTGCTAACAAGAACAAGACTTACTTTTCCCTTGAGATATTTGGTTTCTCCTGTATTTCAGTGGTTAAAGAAGTGAGGTTTAACAGGATGCTCGGGCTCATGTGATCGTTGGGGTTTTCTTCCCTAACGCCCTCAGTACCTCCCTGCTTAGTCTGTTTGCATGATGGGGATGGGTTGAAAAGACCTTATTGTTCATCAAAGGCTTCCAGAATGCCTTTTTGTTATTGTTTCATTTAAACGTAGTGCCAGAGCCTGGGTTTCCTGGACCATCAAACAGTCTCCCTGCAGCTGACCTTTCAGTCAACTCGGACTGTGCTTTTGGATTCAATACTAATTCTGTGGCCAACTTTCAAAGGAGCCTCAACTTCTTTAATTAGAAGCCAGCAGCTTGTGTTCCCAGTCAGTCACAGGACTCCGACTGGCGATTCAGTGTAGTATGTCGATGGTTTTATGTGCATGCCATCAACTTGATGTAAAGGTAACTTTCCAGACAAAGCTTTAGCTGGTTTAGTTAATAAAGAGCACATCACAATACGGATTTACCCTCATATGCCTCAGGTTTGTGGTTTTCTGCCCATCAAGCGTGGGGTCTGACACTGTTGGCAGGAGGCTCTGCAGTGCTCAAAGGTTGTGGATGCCCTTGGAGAATGCGCTCTCTCCACATCGCGTTTACGGTCACTAACCCGGATGGCAGCATTCAGAACTGCTGGAGTGTGGCATTTCCCACAGTTCCTGCTCAACAAAGAGCTGGACACAGGGGGTGCCTGCAGGAATAACCCTATGGAGAGCTCAGGAGAAAGCCAGATATCTGGTGATACAAGTCCCAAGGAGGAGATCCTTAAGTCTGATTCCTAATCAGTGCAGGAGTGTATTTGGTGTAAGTGAGAACTCATCCTGCTCACACAGTCAGAAAGGTCTGTGGATAAAAAGCTAGAAGCAGTAAGACACTAAAAGCTATCTGAAATGCACAGGGTACCACACCGTGCTGACAGCCTTGCTGGGTAGACTGAGAAAGATATGCTTTACAAATAGTGGGATATTAGGCCTGGATATGTTAAAAGAGATTATTTGCTGACTTACGGCAATAGTTGCACTGCAGAAGTCTCCAACCTAAAACTGGAGGTGAAAAGGGGGTATAAGCAATTCTCTTTAGAGGGACCCGAAACTCTGGGAGCTGCTTCTGGCACTAGTAGCCATTCTTGGTAGGAAAAACTAATGTGTGTTGCTGTTACAGCCTTGTCATCTACATGGATTAACAAGTTTTCCTCCCTGGGTATGAGGGTGAAATGAATTCTGCACAGAGAACAGCTCCACACAGGTGCCAATTCCATCACATTATGTAAATAGCCTGTGACTAATAGAGAAGCCTATGAAATGGAATAAAAGACATCAGTCTGCATTTGCATGGAAACCAAGCAATATGCCAAAGGAGCCTTGTTTAAAATTGAGTGATAGCAGACAAGATAATTCTAAGGTTGCCATTGTGGAACATATTCAAGGGTCTTATTAGCATAGATTTGAAAGGACAATGTTGTTTTGTATGTATGCAGTCTGTGAGGTTCCACTAAGTACATCTGCAGTCCCTCTGACCCTTTGCTGTGAGCTTACTCAAAGCTTTGCTATAGATTTGCTCTCCTCTCTGAGTACTGCTCAAAACAATGAAGAAGAAAATGAGATATTTATATGGTGAAGCAAAGTTCATACATACCTAATGGCTTGGTTTGTCACTCATCTGCCGGGATGGGCCTGGGGAAAGTGGGGACTTGAGATAAAAAAGAGGTGAGTCTGTGAATGTGAAGAATGATTTTTCCCCTGAAAGCCAAATCCTATTGTATGTTCATTAAATAACATCCAGAACTCAAGTAAGAAGATATGTATATGGTGTTTCAGCAGGGGGTTGGCACCCTGCCTTTTGCCTTCTAGACAGCCACCATCCTCCCAAAGACAGGGGTGTAATAACCCACGGACACTTATTCTCTTTCCAAGTTGGTTAAGGTTGGCTCAAATGTTATTGGGATCAAAAGGACAGGAACATAATGGTATAAACTTGGTTTCTATGGGAACGTAGGCTAAAATCAAAAGGTGCTTCAGGAGGCACAGAGCAGAGCTTGCTAAATAAGAACCATGGTGTAAAATAACTCATTGGGATTGCCTTTTATGGCCACGTTTCTGTAAGTATGTAGTTACTTGCCATAACTTTGATTTCCTTCTAGAATCTGGGCAAGATTCAGACGCTTCCTGGATGCAAAATCCACCTCCCTGAAACTCAGTTCTGGTGTTTTTCAGGATTCTACCTGTTGTGGGGCAGTTTGGTGCAATGTTAGTTTAGAGTCATGCCAGAGGGAATTATTCTTGCCTTGCTGCAGCTGTGATGTGACTTTACAATATATGATGCAAGAAATAGAACCCGGGTATCATTTGCCACTTGCAGTGGATGAGGGTTGGGTAAAATAAAAGCATCTCATCTTCCAGGCTGGAATCTGTCCCAGTGATGTGGTACTGTTAAATCCCAGGAGTTCTGATCGCATGTGATAAAATATTGATAGCGCAGCCAAACGTGGTATGAACATTCTGGCTTAAGCAAGAAAAGTCACAAGTGTCTTTCTCCTACTTAGATACTGATGAATTCCAACACAGTAGTAGATGCTGCCTTGGAAATGGTTGTGCACCAAGCGGGCTGCAGTGCAGCACAGAGTGTTTGTAGATCTCTGAGCTGCTGAAGGGAAACATCCACTCTGACAAATGGCACAGATCTGCAAAATGTCCAAGGAAACAGGACTGCAAACACATCGACTGTGTTTGAGTGCAGATCATAAAGTACCAGAGTGAAAAGTCGCTCTGCCCTTGAGGCATAAATTCACTTGAAACCTCCCTGGTTAATGATTCTGTCCTTTTCCACCATAGAGTATATGAGCACCGTGAGCCCAGAGAAGGTTTTTACCTGCTTTTAAGTCCTTCCCTCTTCTGGAACAAGCAAATATCTAATTGTTCACCAACCTCTGTTTATCTTACGAGTGAACATGTGAAATGCTAAACCGGTTCCCAGAACTGTTTGTATGAGAACCGCCCTATCAGTGTTATAGACAGCAAACTCTAACAGCTGGGCAGCACAGCAATTTTATGCAGGGTAATATTTATTTGTCCATAGACAGGAGGAATCAAAGTATTTAACTCACACACAGCAACGGCACTGCTTTTGTCCACGTACATGATTACAGTCGATAATCAATTGAGTTCTATGTTCAATGGAATTGGTTTCACAAAGAATGTCACTTTCTGAGCAGCTGGCTCTAGTTACGTGTGCTTACAGTTAACCCAATCAGCCATAAAATACAGATACATGTAAGGATGTATTGATTCACAAGGATGTTTGTAAGTACATTGGTCTGGTCCATGTGACCAAACCACTCAGATGCAGTGTTTTAAAAACCCATCACTGCTAAGAGGTCGTTGGTACATTTGGATGAGATTCTGGAGCTCAGGTTCTCCATCCAGCTTTCCGTAGTTAATTCCATGTTTCTGCTCCCCCAGGGAAGCTCACAGTCCTCCAGCTGGTTGCATCAAGTAACAACAGTGTCATGAGCAAGGCTGTTATAATTTTGTCTGGTTGCTATACCAGTAAAATAGGGAAAAGAAAGTTACTGGCATTACCTAACACAGGGCAACAGTTGTCAGTTTAATATTAGGTTTGAGCACTCTTTGAGTATCTGATATTGCAGTTTCATACATCCCCATCACACACCATGTCGGAGTCCATAATACTTATGTATTAACTTCTTTTTGGATGTTCCTGTTCCTACCAAAGTCAATTCACTCCTATTGACTTGCCTGGAAATTAGACATCAGACTGAGTGCAAAGGCAGTGGATGTAATGAGAGAACATGCAGCGGGAAGGTGATGTCCTTGATACTCTCTTCAGTTAGCAACGATTTTTAAAGTGCAGCATTAAGGAAAGACATACTTGATAGCTGAAAGCTCGGAACAGAAATGGTGCATCAGCACTTGAGTCGGATGAGAGCGTAAGAAAGAAATGATAAGAAATCAAGGCACAAGTATAATGATTCGCATTGGATTACGAAGCAGTCTCACTGCTCAGAGAGCTTCCACCTGCTAACGAAGGACCCTCTTACGCCAAGATTCAGAGTGGAAAGACTGATTGCTTCACTCTGATCAGGGTGTCAGGGGCAGACGATTGGTGCTACAAAAAGCAATGGCAGCCTTTTTTACTTTGCTGTTTAATGCCACAGAAACACACTGCCCGAGCACTTGTAGGGAGAGGCACTAAAGGGAGATCATCCATCAGCAGCCCTGTCCCTCCCATAAGGCCACAAGAGTTTCTGCTGCCCCACTGACCATATAATTTAGTCTAGTGCTCATTTTGTGGCTGCATATAAACCACTTGGGGCCTGACACTAAACCTACTTCTCCTGTAAGGACTAAGCAAGATGGTGGAGGCTTAGGATAACTCCAAAAGCCTTCCTTACTCCGTGAACTGCTATAAACTGTTATACAGATCAACCAGAGCTGGGAACAGTGGAGGGGTGTAAAATTAAAAAGCCAGGAGACAGTGAAAAGGCTGATGCAGTTAGGAATGCTTCAGTATTCCTGGTTTCCTGGGGTGTTGGTGAAGGACGACGGCATCAGTGGCTGAAATAGAAATATTTTTAGCTGTGCTAAGGTAGCATGCCAATGACTTGGAAATTGTGGATTAAAAAAGTAAGATGTGTATACTCTTTATAATTCATTATTATTAATCTTTAGCATTCTTGGAGGTGGTTTATTAGCATTAATACCATCATAAGAGTGTGCCTACAGGAGCATAATCCTCTTTTTGCTGAACTAAACAGCAACAATGTCCTCTAAACTCAGCGGTGACATGATCTAGACCTACAGAAAGTGTTCATCCGCACCAAAGTGCAAGACTTTGGAACCTATTGGATTATTTTAGATCTCCAGAGGGGGATTATTTAATTTCAGAGATCCCTTTGATGCGTCAGTTTGGAGATTTGAAAGGGCAATATTTTCATATACCTCTTCTGACGCTGAGCATCTGCAGTGGTGAGCTAATCCGACCAAATCCTTCTGAAAGTTCTTGTTGAGGAACCCATAGAAGATGGGATTGACACACGTTGAGATCATGGCCACGAGGTGGCATATTGTAAATGCTAGATTATGATTACAGCTCATTAGTGCCTCGTAGTTCCAGTCAAAAACAACATTGAACACATTGAGAGGCAACCAGCAAGCTGCAAAAGTCACAACAATTGATATCAACATCACGTTAATCCTTTTGTTTTCACTCAGTCTGTTCTCATTCTCTCTCATCCTGTCTATTTTCCCGTGTCTCCTTCGAAGACATACAAATATCCTGAGATAGCAGATAAATATAAACCCCAGTGGGAAGCAGTACTGGAAAACCAGCAGACTAGTGGTAAAAATGAGTCTTTCTGTAACTGATGGCCATGCTTCAATACAAGCAACTTTGTTCTTGTAGAAATCACTATGGAAAGACAAGTGTTTGAAGGGTTCATCAGTTAATTGGTGAAATACTAAAAAAGGAATGGATATTACAAGGGAAAACCCCCAGATGAAAAGAATTCCCCAGTAAGCATGTGAAATATTAGGCTTCCAGCCACGGGGGTTCACAATTAACTGATATCTCTCAATAGCAATCAGTACAAGTGAGAAAATGGAGACTGTGACAGATACACTTTGTATGAAGGAACTTATTTTACACATAGCTTCCCCAAATATCCAGTAGTCCATTAAGGTATATGCAACTGTGACAGGAATACACATGATACAGATCAAGACATCTGATAAAGAGAGGTTGGCAATCAAAATATTGGTGACGTTTTGAGCTTCTTTCCTTCTTTTTATTATAACAATCAGGCAAAGATTTCCAAAAAGCCCCACGATTGTAACTAATGTGTAGGCTGTAATAAGCAAGGATTCTGCAAGGAAGGAGGGCTGGCATGTATCAAAATTCAAGAACTGAGAATAGCTGATGTTGGAGATGGTCTGATTAGCCAGAATCTTGCTGGGGTCCTGAATGGCTTTATCCATCATGAAGCATTTCCCGTCCTGTGAACAAAACCTAGTATTATTTAGAAGGTACTTTGTATGAAGCTTTCCAAGGCAATGATTAACGTGTCTCTTGTTGCAGTCGATGCCCTTTTCTTGTTAGTTAGTTTAGTTTAGTTAGTTTTCAGCAAATCTAATTACAGCACTGGAGAAGCCAGTGGTTGGGTATTAGTGGTTTTGTGCATATAGATGAGTGCAGGTTGATGCAGGTTCTGCACTGACAGTGTTACTGATTGTGACATATAGAAACAGCAATGATAGCTCTGATTAAACTTGTGTGAACATTTTGATACAAATCCTCTTTTACAACTGTCGACAAACTTTGCTTTTCAAAAGACAATATTTGAAGATCTGTGTCAGCCAAAGACTTAGCAAGGTTTAAGGAATTCCAATGAGGATAATCTGTTGCTTTTCCATTATCAAGAAAGAAGAATTGGGTTCTGCCATCATGTTGCTAGCTTAGGCATCACACTTATATTGTCTCTAGAACTAGAAAGTGACGTGAGCTAAAATCCCAACTCCCTCTGGCTTAACCAAAATGACGTCTGATTTAGCTTATGGGATATTTAACACCCCAATGAATTACATATTTAAAGGAGTCTCCTGTTCTGCTTGTGTATTACAGGTAGTATGTCCTCTTTCCTCAATGTAATCTGAGAAACATGTAAAGCAAACAGGTATCACATCAGCTACACACACAATTATTGGCATATCAGTAGCTGCCAAAGGCTGTCTCATTTCCCTGCACACCATTCACTGTTGTACAAGTTTGACATATGAGACCCCCAAAATTTCCTGCAAGGTGTACTCAGGAGACACACGGTTGATTCCTCTTTCAGTTCACACTTGAACATGTGTCAAGCAACAATTCTGATATTAGTACAATTCTGTTGTTACGAAACTACTATTAATGGGAAGAATTAGGTTCAGCAGAGTATCTCAGTGGGTTTCAATTTCTCACTGAGGAAAGAAGTTAATCTTAAATGAAAGGCTCACCAGCTTTCTGGCCAGAAAGAGGTTGTTTCCAACCTGGGAAAGGAAAAAAGAAGGGTGTAAAGCATTACTTTTGAAATTGAAACAAGGGATAAGTATGTTCTATACATCCGCCTTTCAAAACTCAACTGTAACTCACCTTAATTCCTTTTTGAAGTAGGAATTACTGGGAAACTAGCTGGCAGGAGCTCATTCTTCACCCCTAGTAATAAATACCATAGTGTTGAGAGCCTGTGGAGAAAGGAGGAGGAAGAAGCAATAGGAATGCAATAGGAATGCACAAAAAGAAGGGGTAGGTGGATGTTTTATTATTACTAGAAATAATCTGCTTAGGTGTAGAAGATTTATCAACCTTTTAATAGAGATTATTAATTATTTCTAATTATTTTATCTAATTAATTTAATATATTATTAAATTAATCTATTGATTTTAATAGATTAATAGATCAGGGGACTGAAGCACCTCCCGTATGAAGATAGGCTGAGAAAGATGGGGCTGTTCAGCCTGGAGAAGAGAAGGCTGCGTGGAGACCTCAGAGCAGCTTCCAGTATCTGAAGAGGGCCTATAGGGATGCTGGAGAGGGACTCTTCATTAGGGACTGTAGTGACAGGACAAGGGGTAACGGGTTCAAACTTAAACAGGGGAAGTTTAGATTGGATCTAAGGAGGAAATTCTTTCCTGTTAGGGTGGTGAGGCACTGGAATGGGTTGCCCAGGGAGGTTGTGAATGCTCCATCCCTGGCGGTGTTCAAGGCCAGGTTGGACGAAGCCTTGGGTGAGATGGTTTAGTGTGAGGTGTCCCTGCCCATGGCAGGGGGGTTGGAACTGGATGATCTCAAGGTCCTTTCCAACCCAAACTATTCTGTGATTCTATGATTCTGTGATTAATTGATAGTAATTAAATTCCTTATTTAATCACTAAGGAATAAAAGATGTTTGGTTGCTTGCATGAGGTTAAACACCAAATCCAGGGTTAAACTGGCAACTATGATTCTCTAACCATTTACCCCCAGGCATTGAAAGAATATTCCAGCTAGAGTTATATCCTGGACTGCTTTATCCTGATACTTTTGCAAAAGAAGTATCCAAACCAACACAACCAACTTTGGAGCATCTATTACCACTCTCATTCTGATTGAAATATACTTTTCAAGTAGAGTAGTCATGTTGAGGTGAGAAGTGGCTGTAGATTTACATGTGGTTTGCATGTGGACCTGATGTTCCCTGATGTGACTTTGTGGTCAGGGGCAAACATTAAGCCTAAGTCTCCCTAAATAACCCACTCATCATGGCCACAGCTATATTGAGGGTATGGCACAAAACTTGTACAGACATGCTGCAAAAGCTGTTGAAGTCCAGTGCCTTAGGGAAACTTTGTAGTCCCTTGCAGGTGCCCCTGCTCCAATAGGACAAGCACAAGAGCTATGTACCCTACAGCATGTCCACCAGCTTGCAAAAACTCTCCTCCTAATGAATCCATAAGAAATGAAAGGGACTCTGAAGCCAGCACAGTCACAGCCTGGAGAAACCAATGCTGTGGCTGGGCAACAGCATCTTCAGGTGATACTTATCCTATAATCCACTTTTCCCTGGAGCAGCACTAATTGCCTGGCTGGACTTATCAGCAGACAGAAGGATGCATGTGCTGGAAGGATAAGAGGCCAACTAGTGGTAAATGTCACCCTGATGAGCTTTACAGCCACTTCAGATGTGTGAGGGTCTAAAATCTGGCTGCTTTATCCCAAGGGAGATCTTTCTTTTTGGTATTCCCCTGACTCGCACAGATCTGAGCCCTGCCCTTTGACGAAAGATCAGGTGTCAGCAGGGGACCTGGCTTGGAAGCAAGACACCTTCAAAGACAAGCTCTGCTCTTCCCTGCTTTCTATGAGAGCAGGAGAAGCTGTGGGGACTCAAAGGACACGAGGCTGAGCCAGGTTTGTAATATTTTATGCACTATTTGCTATGCCTGCTTATTTATCTCTGGTTGCATAAGACGGTTTGATGGGAAGTGCTGAGTGTCCTCTCCCAGTAACTCAGTGTGGGTGTGGGGCTTCTTTGGCACTTTCCATCATTAGGGAAATGGTAGGTAGAGGTGCCTTCTGATCAGTTCAACCAGTGGATCAGCTTTAGGCACACTCATCATCTACACTGTCTCAGCAAAAAGCTCAATTTCAGGTCACTGTTTGGTTTGTGCTGTGAGCTAAAAGTGTAGCTTTAGTACATGTCATCCTGCAAGGCAATTTAAACATTTCTTTGGTAATAAAACTATAACACTTGTCCTGTTTAAAAATCTGGAGTATTCACAGCATTAGGTAAATAAGTTACACAAGTACTTACTGCAGCATGATGAACTATATTGTCATACATACTGGCATTGGTTTAAGCTATTAAATATTAGTGGAATCAGTATCCTTGAACCACAACTACAGCTGATATCAGAGCCGGATTGTTTAATAAGAGAACCAATTACTTCCATCCATAATCCATGCATTTGGATAAAGATTCCTTACTATACTAAGAGTATATGATGAGGAAATGATAAAATTAACCTACTTGTTTCATTCCTCTGGATGCAGAAACATTACTGAAACATGCATAAGCAAAAGGAAGTTAAAAACAGTGTCTAAAATTCAAATGAGTTTTTAAAGTCTTTCTTTGCTAAATATTTCCTTACCTATGTGAAAGATGCATAGTCCCATCCCTTCAGAGTGGCCAGTGAATATTTCAGTTGCAAACATCATCTGTTTATTCAGTTCCAAAGTGGTGCACAGATAAAATGTGGAGGAGATTTTCTATTCAGTTTTAAATACAGGATGTACAGACTACAACAATCCTTCAAAAGCTGTATTTCAGTAACTTTTGCCACAGTTGCATGGATTTTCTGACTTCTTACCTGATGCAAAATTCAAGTCAAATCCACACTGCCTTTAACAATTGATCTTTTCCCGTTTTGAGTTGATTACCAAGCCAGCACACATATCTCCTTTGTGCTTGAAAGAATCTGAAGCAAAGCCATCTGCTGCTAAAGCAATACTTAAACTCTCCTTTCTTCTCTTCCTGAAACAATCCACACTTCCACTATTTCCAGCTGCGACTGAATCCACCGGTCTGTTGGGAGGCTGCTGAGGAATAAACCAGGCTCTGGAATCCAGGAAGAGGCGAACAGCAATGAGCAGGGAGGAGAAAGGACCAGGAGTCACGGGGATGGATTTTCCTCCACCGTGTGGCTTCCCTCCACCCTGTCAAACACCTTATCTTGCAATTTCATTTTCAATTATCTTATCTGCTCCGCAGTGCAAATGTTTTCCCTGTGCTGGATTTCATACGTAAACATCTGCAGATGGCTTATTGCTTTCTTAACTGAGGGAGATAGGAAAACACAGTAAGCTGCCTGGAAAGGCATAATAAATGTATTATTTGCTCTATTGCAATTAAGATAATCGTATTTTCATTATAAATTGCTATTTTAGCTTATACTCCAGAGATATAAAAATCTTCCTGAAAAGCGAAGCATTGAATATTACCCCAGCACATACTGAAAAGGGGCTTTATTATTATCAGTTTTTGCAGTAAAAGCCCAGTACAGCTTTTATAGTCCCTTGTTTATAAAAAGCAGCATTTAACATTTCCTTATTAAATATTTAGAGTGAATGTTTATGGGACAGGAAAGGATCTGTTTTATTCTTAGGATGTGCTATTTGGTACATTGCTGTTTAAACTTCTGAATTCCTACCTGGGTCCTCTTAACCCCCAGTATCTCAGTCTCATATGAACCACCCTGTGGCTCTCCAGTACTAGGAAAGGTAGAAAATAGTCCAGAGTTACAATGTGTTTGTGTAGGACAGACTCAGGAAAACTAGATGAGAATTCCCTATTAAATTAGAGAAGTAGGAACCTGCAGACAAAGCATTTGAGAGTACTTGAGTCTGCCTCACTGGGTCTTGGCTGTTTTTTGCGGGGATGATTTTGAAAAGCAGTAGGATTTGGGGGATGAATGAGACTGATGCTGTATCTAAAGTGCAGGTAAGAGCTTATTACCCCAAAATATTGTTGGTTGTCATGCTATTGTATTTGTAGAATATAGAGGTGGAGGGAGCCTCTGAGATCAGATGAACCTCCCGCTTCTAGGATGTTTGTATCTATTCATGCTGTGTTTGTCTAAAGTGTTTTTAAACATCTGTGGTAATCCGAAATTAGGTATTCAAGTGACTGATTTAAATGTTAGGACGACATACCCCCTAAAGTTTCCTTTGCTTTAGGCCATTGCTTTATATTCAGAAAATCTAACCAAAATGCTACAATCCAGCAATGTGAATGGACTTTCCTAATACATTTCTAGCACTTGCTGGTTTTGATTATGTCAAAAATACTGGAACAACAAAGCTTTTCCAATGTGCTTCAGAATTTCTGCTTCTGGTTGCAGTGTAACCCAGGAAGTTAATCAGGACCTAAACGTGCAACATCTTAGGTACACATCAGAACCAGCCATAAAAATGTGTTATCTGTTTATAAAGGAAATAAATTGGGAAAATTAGAAGATGTTCTGATTCTGTTTATAAATGTCAAACAAAGGGCAGGCTGTTTATTTATAGACTTCTGTTTCTAATATAACACTGCATGCAGTCCTCCTTCTGTGGGAAGACTGAAGTGTTTAACATGTGAACCCCTTGGTTTTACAGGCATGTCAATCTGCTGTGGTCTGTGGCTTTAATTCTGTTGTAACCTGGTGTGAATTAGGCCACATCTGACATCAGAGGCTTGTGGGTGTAGCTGCTCTTGGTCTGTTTATGCCTGATGTCAAAGGTATGTATGCAAAGTGGAATCTATAGCCAGGTAGGAAGGGATCAGGGTATATTGTTTTCAGGTAAATGCTGTAGTGCCTGTTTGTAAAACAGGCTGATGGCCAGCAGAATTGTGTTTGCTTTATATAAATGATGAGGTTATTTCTAAATTGCTCAATATTAAATGATGAAAAAATAGCCTTTATCAGTAGACTCTGATAACCGACTGGGAGGCGGGACTGCAGCTGCAATGGGAAGCAAACTTTATACGTAACCTGATAACAAAAAGTTAAAATATGTTGCAGATAAGGCTGCAATTGGCTTGGCAATGTCCAGTGTAAATTTAGAAACTCTGCCTTTGTGGGATTTCAGTAGTTCAGAGATGGCTCTATCACAGGAAATGGTAGCAGTTGTGGTATGATTTTTTAAGAGTTTTATTAGGGATTTCTATTGCAGTTTGCAAAGCAAACAAGTGAATAGGAAACCTCAAAACAGTGTGCTGATTGTCACTATACTGAATGCCAATCATGAAATTGATTATCACCTTAGCACAATCATTGCAATAAAAGCCTGATCCTAAAAGCTTGCCAGGCATGATATTCATATAGAAATCAACTGGAACATCTTTTACAAGCATCTGGTTGTACAGCAGCTCGAGGCATGACCTCTGCTTGTGTAAATGTTCCCAAGCCAGTTTTAAACCAGGTAGCAATTAACCGTTACAAGCACAGAGCTCGGGGCACTATCATCTAAACCAGCCAGCTGATAGTAAACAGGGTCCACATCTCATCTTGGTTGCAGTGGAGGTGTGCTATTACTCTGGCTTCCAGGCTCTGGCATACAGACTGTGGGCAGTGTGGAAAGTCAGGGTAAGTGATGATGTATTTTAAGTTTGTAACTTTTGTTGTGTTGGCAGCAGCCTGTTGGTGAAAAAATTCTCTAACATGCAAGTCCTTTTGCTTTGGCATTTACATGATTCCTTGCTGAGCAGGAATCGTTGCTGATGGCTGGCTACTCTTGGCACAGCTCCCTTCTTCAGAAAGCAAGGTTTAGTAGAGATGTATACATATGATTTCTCAGCTTCCTAGGTGTAAGAGTTCTTTAACAGCAGTTTGGCTAAGAGCTGGCTCAGTGACCCTTAACATCTGTGAAGGATCTGGAATCGTTCTTCCTCATAACTACTATTCTTTATAGCACTTCAAAGAGGCACAGAGAAAGAAGCAAGAATAATTGGGGATCTCTTACGTTAGTGTCAGATGTGCTAGATGGTGTCAATAAAGTAAGATAATATGTTATGATGGAGGAAAACCACATCCCTTTCTCACATTCCTGTTTGATGGAGAGATCAACTCCCTATTAAGTGTCTTCAGCAAATGGGTTATAATTTGACCAAACTAGCAATATCTGAATTCCAGCTATGTACACACAGTAAATTTTTCTCCAAAGATCACATGGATGAAGAAGGATTGATATCTGTGTGTAAGTGGGTGCACTGCTCCATAATTTGGAAGTTTTTTTCCTAATTGGAAAAGATAACAAAAATCACTTGGTTTCACTACCTGGAGCTTAATTTTCACTCCATGGTATTGCATAGCTCTAAAGAACAGCTTTGCAATATCCTTAAGGCTTTATTCTGGTCCATATATCTCAATTTAGGTCATTCCTACAATGAGAAGTCAACTGTTTGAAAATGTGCTTTAACTTTAAATGAGTTACTTATAACAGCATATTCATTTAAAACATTATATTATGCTATGAGATTTCAGCTGGCACACAGTTGAGATGAAGATTGATACGCTCTGGCTGGAAGGTTAGCATCTTTATTTCTGGAGTCAGCCAAGTTACTTTTCTTACTGAAAACTAGATAAGATGTGAGTAATTGTAATAGGAGTGTGACAGCATTAATTCATATTGTACAATAGTTTCCACTGTCCAAACCCTGATTCAATCCTTTGTAGCTCTCTAGAACTTCTCCAGCTGATGTTTCCCAGGAGTGATCTCTGCCAAAGAATGAATTATTTCAATAGCTCATAGATTTTGGAGAAATATGATAATTTGTATTTCTTATTTTTTGTTCTACAGTCTTTTTCCAACAACACAGTGAGCACCAAACCCTGCTGTTCTCATGACACAGCATCTTTCACTGTCCTAATGGTTAATGAAGGAATATTTAACTAATCAAAAGGGTTTTCCTGTTAATCTCAGTCTGTTTCAATTTCCCTGCGTGTTTCAAACTGTAATGTCAGTTTTGATTTTCTGAATGAAAAATATGAATTCTAGATTGCTGTTTTGTGTCTAGAAAGCCTGGCTTTTATGCACCTAGTTCTAAAACTTCTTGAATAGCAGGGATATCTTACAGCTAGTTTCAGGTACTTCATAGCATAACTCTTCTTGCTGCTTGCAAACAAAGCTAAATATCAGTCATGCAGCAGCACCACAAAAAAAAACCAACAAACAGCCCACCCTACAGAGGCTCTGTGGAACAAAAAATAGATGGGACCTAGGAATAAGCAAGGGAAAAAAAAGCAACTAGATTTTAAGTGGAAAATACATAAAGCAAGATTTGCAGATGAAAAAATACCAGAGCATGGCTGAGATCATTGCTGGCTCCAGGTCTTCCTTTGGCAAAACTTATGATCCTGGTCTGCCTTGGACTAAGATACAGTGAAAGATATACCCTCTCACATCTGTCCCAGCATTGTGTGCTTCTTTGATCCTTTACAAGAAGCTTGACTTTTGAGACGCAGTTTTGCTGTCTTACTTTCATCCTATCACTGCAAATTATGACCTGATCTTATATGAACTTTTAGGAAAGAGAAGAAAGGAAATCATCAATTATGACAGAAAAGTGAAGAGATGAAAGAGGAAAAGAGAAATTGAGCTTCAGAGAGGAGAGGAGAGAGGCAGGATTTAAGGGAAAACCGTACCGTAAATCCAAAGAAAGGGATGTGAATTCAGTTCTCTGATGTCTTTCTTCTTCACCCTTCACAAAGGTGTGCTCCTCTCTTTCAGCACACTCCCCCTACAAAGGGCTCAGGGAAGGCTTTGTTCAGTAAGATGATCTTTTGAAACTACTTACTGATAAATAGCTCCTGTGAGTTGTTCTGTAGTTACTCTTTTTCCTGCAGAATATCTTACATTGTATTAAGCAAATAAAAGAAAGGGGTAATGGTTTATTCCTCATCTGAATTTGCACTAGGTAGAAATCTTTATCCTGAAGAGTGTCATATTCAAACTTTAGGTAGCAAAAGACTATCCAGTTTCCTCTCAGTGCATGTTCAATCTGTTTCAATTAAAAGCCTCTCCCAACCAGTGCTAGTTCATGATAGCCTCAAAAGTGAGATCACGGGTTGGTGTTTATGTAGATACAAGTGCAATCAGCAGAACAGAGAGAAAGATAAACCTATTGCCAAAAAAGCAAGAGCTCTCTCAAGGATTGTTTTATCTCTTTTAAGTTCTTCAGACTTTTAGCTAAAGCCAGGGGCCAGGATGGGGAAGTCGGTGGTGCTGCTGCATGTTTTATTAAATATGTCTTCCTATGAATTGCAAAATCACTCTCTGCCTGAGGGGATGATTTAGGTAGGAGGGAGGCTTCTACAAGTCTAGTAATACCTGTTTGAAATGATGAGATTAAAAATCCTTGCCTGAAATTGTGTGGATCTCGGAGTGATCTGGATAATTATGGTTGAATCTGCTCTATTTCCAGCCATTTCCACCTGTGTATATTTAGAAAAATCAAGATGAAATCTACATCAATGATAATGTTATTACAGACTGTTGAAAGGTAAAACCAGACCTAAATCTAGAGCATTGCACTATACTAACAAAACATACAAGAAGTCCAGTTGATAAACTTTAATTGTTTTGAAAGAGTGAGTCAATACTTGATTATGGAAGCCAGCCACACTGATATAGAGGAGATTAGAGAGGTTGAAGCAAATTAAAAGCATATGACTTTGTGTTTATACAAGGGTTTAGGTAATTAAAATATTACTTCCTTAATAATTGATTTTGTATCAGCTTTTACTAAACAGTATATGATATCACAGGAAAGGGACAGTATATGATATCCCCTGGAAAGGGACTGTTCAGCTGCCTGTTTTATGATCTCTTGAGCAGTAATGCCCTCCTGTGGACTCTAGGTAGTATGATTTCTGCTGGAATAATTGGAATATTTTATGCATAAAAATGATGTGGGTTTCCTTCCAATACTCCAACGCCAACTAAGGTATCCCTAGAAGCCATTTAACACCATGTATTATTTGGCCAGAGCCTCTTATTTGAGAAACACATTTTCTTTAGGTGATGACACAGGTGGAGCTTTTACCTGTGTTAGAAACTTAAACTGCTTGTACAATGAGTTTTTATTCTGTAGGTTGCTATCACAATGGAAACAATATAATGCTGTGACTGCCCTGTCAGGAGGGAAAGGCATGTATTTCCTTTTCAATGGTGTGTGCCTGAGATATTTTAAATACATATTATGAATTTACTCGTATGTAGTTAAAAGTAGATTGAATATGTGGTGGAGAAACTGCTGTAGCTGTTGGAGTGTTGTCTGTTTTAGCAGACTTGTCACATCCCACATGCCCAGTGTGAGACTCATTCTTTGGTTCTGCACTCACGCTGCAGTACCCGTTGTAGCCCACTCTTGCAGTGGCTCACGCAGCTGTAGAGGGAAAAGGCACATTTCAGGAGCACGTAAAGGCACATAGTTCATAGGAACGTGTACAACAACGACCTGGCATGCTGACTGGGTGAATGAATCCAACAGAAACTGGAGAGGATTGGTTGGAGGCTCTGTGGTGGCTCAGGTGAGCTGCTATGAAGGTCTGTGGGATATATGCAGGAGAAACTCCTGTTTAGCTGTCTGGGAAGCCCTGCATTGCTGAAGCCTGGTGGTATGTGCCAGGGCACATGTACATGTGCAGTGAGCTTGGCCCTTTCAGTGTGGGGATTGAACTCGATTTTCAGTGAGTACATGAACTACATGAGGTCACTTACACGGTAGCTGGGAAGGGGTAGTGGACAGGAGGACACCAGGTCAAGCAGACCTTGGCTGTTCTGTAGAATCAGAGGAGACATTTCTATCTGCAAGACATGGGTATATGTATTTTAGAGGTGTTTTCCTTTCATTAAATCAACCAGTCAGAGCTCAAACAGAAAAGGGAGTGGTTGGGCTATGTTTTATACTTCTGTTGTGCCAGTGTTTCGCTCACATCTTTAAGACCCTCATCTTCTGCTGAAAGTAGTGACTTTCTTTGATCTCTTCCCTGCCCTACTTGTCTGTCTTGCATTCAGGGAGAGAAAATGAGTCATAAACAAGTGTTCTGTTCTCTCTGCTACCCACTGAGGCCAGAATTAGCTCCTCTTAATGTTTCTTCCTTTTCGCTGTAAATTATTAAGTGTCTGTAAAACTCTCATGGGTTATTTTCACTATGAAACAGATATTAATTTATCTTGGGAAGGGCCACACCGTTTTTTACAATAAATGGCAGGCAAAATGTAGTTTTGTATTTCCTGTAATTGTGTGGAGCTTGCAGATGGCCTCTGGGAGGGAGGTCTTTGGGTCCTTTTTAATAGAGCGGGATTTGTTTGTTTTAAAACCACAAATATTCCAGTGCCATTATGGACATATTCTCTTCTCTAAAAGTAGATAAAATTATCATGTCCACGCATGGAGATAAATGGATCTAAACACATGACATCTTTCCCTGTAAGTGGCTGTCACACACAGACATTTAATATTCTTGTCATATTAATAAGTTGCTCTTAATACCTGGCTATAAAAGAATTCAATATAAGAAAAATCAGATTACTCTACTGCAAGCATTAATCCTAGTGGTTAATGGTAATCACAGCTTCTTAGCCTGAAGCATGAAAACTTGGCCAGCTGATAGAAATGAGTACAGATTCCACCAGCAGTGTTAATCTCTGGTATTGACACCACCTGAAGAGGAATAAAGAAGAATTTTTGTGCTGAAATGTTCAGTCTCTCTGGACTTCACCTGGGGCTGTAGTTAACTACCCTTGCAGTGCAGCCAACGTTACGCTTGTGCCTGTGTCTGTGAGTCTCTAAGGGTGCCTTTCCACAGGAGATGATCTGATCCATGGGGGTGTTGCAGTTCTGCTTCCTTTCCCTTCTGCCAGCACCAGCACTCGTGGGATCATGCAAAAAGCTGCTGCAGAAAGCTGAGGCAGCTGAACCTGAGCCCTTCTTCGTGATAAAGTATTTTTGGCTGTCTCGGTTCTCTGAAGTGCATCCCTGTGTGATGCACACATCCCTGCTTGTGAAGCACAAGCATCAGGGCTGGTACACGGGAGAAGGGCGGCAATGCCAGCACAGTCAGTTCAGGCAACTGTGGAGCTACATCCCGAAACAAATCCATAGCAATCGGGTCAGAAGGGTCAGAATATTCAGTCCAGGGGGTTTGGCAATCATCTTTTATTAACCCATTCCCCAAACCCTCTGAACCTTGAGCACTGCCAGGGATGGGGCAGCCACAGCTCCTCTGGGCACCCTGTGCCAGTGCCTCAGCACCCTCACAGGGAAGAGCTTCTGCCTAAGAGCTCATCTCAGTCTCCCCTCTGGCAGGTTAAAGCCATTCCCCTTGGCCTGTCCCTACAGGCCCTTGTTCAAAGCCCACCCCCGATGTATTTGATTATGTGGTTATCTTTTCAAACAGTGTCTAAATAGAAACTTATCTCATCATGGCCATAATGAACAAAGGAAGAAGCTACCTGAGGAGGCTGTGAAATTGCCTTCGCTGAGGGTTTTAGAAGCAGGTTAGACAATGACCTGTGACGAGGACTCCATTAACATGAGCTTCAGGTACCGTGTGGTGCAGGAGCCCCTTCAAGGAAGAAAAAATCACCACAGAAACGTTCTTTTCTCCTAGATAATTTCCAACATAAACCTCAACGGGTGTAAGACCAAAACAAATCCTGTTTCTGGGGGAGGAAAAACAATCACTGTGATGAAAATGGTGCCACTGTCTTCAAGCTCTGTTTAAGGTACTATTAAAGTGTATATATGTAAAAGGAAACGCATCTCACTACTAGTCACATTAGGAGGTATTTAGAGAAAATACCTCATTTTTGGAGCTATGGAGAGATTTAAGGGTGAGAGGAGGAGGCAGTGGTGGGGTTGGAAACAGTAGCAGGGAAAGCCAAAGAAGCTGCTTGAGGCAACAGACTGGGTGCTGAGGGATTGAGCCAGCTTGTGCCCAGGCAGCCAGGACCGCCAGCGGCATCCTGGTGTGTACCAGCACCAGTGCGGCAGCAGAGCCAGGGCAGGGATGGTGCCCCTGTGCTGGGCACTGGTGAGACTGTACCTTGAATCCTGTGCTCAGCTCTGGGCCCCTTCACTGCGAGATAGACCTTGAGGTGCTGGAGCGGGGCCAGAGAAGGGAATGGAGCTGGTGCAGGGCCTGGAGCACAGGGGTGATGGGGAAGGGCTGAGGGAGCTGGGGGGTCAGTCTGGGGACGAGAAGGCTTAGGGGGGACCTGATGGCTCCCTGCAACTGCCTGAGAGGAGGATGGAGCCAGGAGGGGTCAGTCTGCTCCCAAGGAACAACTGAGTGATAGAACGAGAGGAAATGGACCTCAAGCTGCATCAGGGCAGGGTTAGACTGGAAATTAGGCAGTTTCTTCAGTGAAGGACAGCATTGAAAACCATGTGGATGTGGTGCTTAGTGGCACTGGTTAGTGGTGGACTTGATACCTTGAAGGTCTTTTCTGATCTCATTGATTCTATGCTGGAAAGCGGGACACGGGCACAAATGAGTGAAGAGCGGCCAACCAACGCTAGGAGGGAGCAGACAGCAGCTGGACAAAACCAGGTGGATAAAACCCCCGACGAGAGGCGTCGCTGCCCGTCAGGAACTTACGGCCCTGGGATGCCGCGCTGCTGGGGAAGATGCGAGGCTGCGGCCGGCCGGGGCGGAGAAGGGAACGCGGCCATGAGGTAAGGACAGCGCTGGGGCCGGGGCAGCGCTGTAACGCCGTTCCGTGAGGCGGCGGGTAACGGTCAGCGTTTCAAACGGTCAGCGTTTCAAACGGCAAGAGTTTCAAACGGTCAGCGTTTCAAACGCTCCCGCGCCAGCCGCCCGCGGACCACCCCCCCCCCCCAACAACCACCCGCGGGGCGGGGCCGCGGGGGAGAAAAGCGCGCGGCGGGTCCGGAGCGCGCCCATTGGCTGACGTCCGCGGGCAGGACGCGCTGGCGCAGCCCCCGCCCCGCCCCTCCTTTCGGCTTGCACAGGAGGTACCGGCCGCCACATCGCGATCCTATTGGCTGCCCGCCTCGTCTGTCACGGTCCAACCCCCGGGCTTTTTGCCGACGCGCGGCGGAGGTCGCGCCCTCTGATTAGCGGCCGAGCTCGTCGATCGCTGCCGGAGGCCCCGCCCCTAAAAGGTGAGTGGAGGACGGCTCCGGCTGCGCGCTCTGATTGGCTGTGCGGGCGCGGGGGGCGTGCGCGGCGGCAGCCGGGTGGGCGGGGCTCCCAGCGGCCCCTTTGTGTGGGCACCAGTGGCCGGCCGAGCTGTGGAGGAGCAGTCGCCGCCATTTTGTGCGTGTCTGTGTTTTGCCCCCTCCCCACCCCCCGTCCCGGAGGAGCGGCGGCAGCCGGGACGCCCCTGTCTCTTCTGCTGGTCAGGTGAGGCGAAGCGAAGGCGTTGGAGCCAGGCGGAGGGAGCCATCGCCGGCGGCTGCCGCAGCCGTGAGGTAGCGCCGTTTGCAGTAAACGAGGGGGACGAAGCGGCAAGACGGAGAAGGGGGGGAAAAAACCGTCAGAGCTGCCCCCCAACAGGAGGAGGAGTCTCGGCGCCAGGCCCAGGCGCAGCCCCGGCACCGGCGGCAGCATGGAGAACTCGCAGCTATGCAAGCTGTTCATTGGCGGCCTCAACGTGCAGACCACGGAGGCCGGGCTGCGGGAGCACTTCGCGGCCTACGGCACCCTCACCGACTGCGTGGTCGTGCTCAACCCGCAGACCAAGCGCTCCCGCTGCTTCGGCTTCGTCACCTACTCGGCGGTAGAGGAGGCCGATGCCGCCATGGCCGCGTCGCCCCACGCGGTGGACGGGAACGCGGTGGAGCTGAAGCGGGCCGTGTCCCGGGAGGACTCGGCCAAACCGGGGGCTCACGCTAAGGTGAAGAAGCTCTTTGTGGGCGGCCTCAAAGGGGACGTAGGCGAAGGGGACCTGGTGCAGCATTTCAGTCAGTTCGGCCCGGTGGAGAAGGCTGAGATTATCGCCGACAAACAGAGCGGGAAAAAGCGCGGCTTCGGCTTCGTCTATTTCCAGAATCACGATGCCGCCGACAAGGCGGCCGTGGTCAAGTTCCACCCGATCCAGGGCCACCGAGTGGAGGTGAAGAAGGCTGTGCCCAAGGAGGACATCCAGTCGGGCGGGGGAGGCGGCGGTTCTAGGCCTTCCCGGGGTGGCAGAGGCGGAGGAAGGGGCCGGGGCGGCGGCGGATCCGGCAACCGGGATCACAACGGTCTTTCCAAAGGAGGCGGCGGTTATAATAGCTACGGCGGTTACGGTGGAGGAGGAGGTGGCGGCGGTGGCGGTTACGGCTCCTATGGCAGCGGTTCCTACGGCGGTGGCGGCGGAGGGGGAGGCGGCGACTACGGCAACGGGTACGGCGGGTTCGGCAGCTACAGCCAGCATCAGTCCTCCTACGGCCCCATGAAGAGCGGCGGAGGAGGTGGAGGAGGGGGCGGCAGCTGGGGGGGCCGCAGTAACAGTGGACCGTACAGAGGAGGCTATGGTGGGGGAGGCTACGGGGGCGGCTCTTTCTGAGCTGGAGCGCCCATACCCATTGGGGGTGGCGTGGAAAGCCCTCCCTTTGATACGGGGCAGCTTCTAAATGGTTTCTCCCCTCGTTCGCCGAAGGGCATCTCCTTTTAAATGTCTCCCAGCTGTGGGAGCAGCTCCTAAATGCCCCCTGAGGGTCGCCTCTGCTGCCTGTGCCACTTCTTTCTCTCTGAAGATGGACTGGGCCACACATACACATACTTTGTGTTACAGTCATTGATGGACTCTATTTTTTTATTATTACTTGGACCTTGGTCGTTTTTATACTAGCAACGAAAAATGTCTTGTTTTAATTTGTTTTGGGTTTTTTTGGGGGATGGGGGGGGCGTACCGGGTGGGAGTT